TTTGATGAAATCAAACAAAGTTTAATTTTGGACCCTTTTGACCTCAATATGAACCAATTTGATAGCGGGGCCCACAAATAAAAATTCTAAATTCATGGTTAGATTCAGCATATCAAAGAACCCCATATATTCAATTTTTGTTGAAATCAAAAAAAGTTTAATTTTGGACCCCAACTTGGACCAACTTGAAAACTGGGCCCATAATCAAAAATCTAAACACATGTTTAGATTCAGCATATCAAAGAACCCCAAGAATTCAATTTTTGTTAAAATCAAACTTAAGTTTAATTTTGGACCCTTTGGACCTCAATGAAGACCAATTTAAAAAACGGGACCCAAATTAAAAATCTAAAAACACGGTTAGATTTGGCATATCAAAGAACCCCAATAATTCAATTTTCGATGAAATCAAACAAAGTTTAATTTTGGATCCTTTTGACCTCAATATGAACCAATTTGATAGCGGGGCCCACAAATAAAAAATCTAAATACATGGTTAGATTCAGCATATCAAAGAACCTCATATATTCAATTTTTGTTGAAATCAAACAAAGTTTAATTTTGGACCCCAATTTAGACCAACTTGAAAACTGGGCCCATAATCAAAAATCTAAATACATGTTTAGATTCAGCATATCAAAGAACCCCATATATTCAATTTTTGTTGAAATCAAACAAAGTTTAAATACTGGACCCTATCTTGGACCAACTTGAAAACTGGGCCCATAATCAAAAATCTAAACACATGTTTAGATTCAGCAAATCAAAGAACCCCAAAAATTCAATTTTTGTCAAATCAAACTAAGATTAATTTTGGACCCTTTGGACCTCAATGTAGACCAATTTAAAAAACAGGACCCAAAATTAAAAACCTAAATACACGGTTAGATTTGGAATATCAAAGAACCCCAATAATTCAATTTTAGATGAAATCAAACAAAGTTTAATTTTGGACCCTTTTGACCTCAATATGAACCAATTAGATAACGGGGTCCACAAATAAAAAATCTAAATTCATGGTTAGATTCAGCATATCAAAGAACCCCATATATTCAATTTTTGTTGAAATCAAACAAAGTTTAATTTTGGACCCCAATTTGGACCAACTTGAAAACTGGGCCAAAAATCAAAAATCTAAATACATGTTTAGATTCAGCATATCAAAGAACCTCATATATTCAATTTTTGCTAAAATCAAACAAAGTTGAATTTTGGACCCTTTGGACATTAATGTAGACCAATTTGAAAACTGGACCCAAAATTAAAAATCTAAATACACTGTTAGATTCGGCATAACAAATAAATAAATGTGATCAAAGATTTTACAAATCTAATGCGCCATACTGTGCAATTAAAGATTACTTCTTGAAATTTTTCAATATTTGAAATTTGAAAAAAAAATAATATTTGAAGAATAATTCTTTTTAATTTCTGAAATCTGAAATGAGAAAAAATTGGCCCCCCACAATTTCTTTTTATCCCCCCCCCCCTTTTTCCCCCAAAAAAATTCTTTCCCTCAAGATATGGTCATAATCTCAATTCAAATTTCCAATGGAGTTGGCAACCATAATTACCCATTTAAATTTACCATAGTGCTAACTTAATCTATTTTATAATAGAATTAATAAAAATATAGTGTCAAATCTTTCATATGGATTTTTTTGTAAAAAAAAAAGATGAAATCATTTGCAGATATTTTTACTGGTCTTCCTTTATAAAAATGCATTTCTTTAAACATAATTTAAAAGCAGTGTAAGGGAAGTAACCAAAACGTTGTATTTGGATTACCTCCCTTACACTGTTTTAGATTATCTTTATTGTTCATTAACCATTACTTTATACATAATTTAAAAGCAGTGTAAGGGAGATAATTTCAATGATGTATTTGATTTATCTCCCTTACACTGCTTTAAATTATGTTTTGTACTAAAGTATTTGTCCATTAACCAGGACAACCTTGTTTTTCCCCCTTTTTTGCCCCTAATTCCTAAACGGTTTGAGCCATAACCCCCCAAAGCAAATCCTAACCATCCCTTTGTGGTATGGAAACTTGTAGTATAATTTCAGAGAGATCCATACACCGTTCCACAGTTATTGTCTGGAAACTAGAAAATGCTCATTTTTGGCCCCTTTTTGGCCCCTAATTCCTTAACTGTTGGTACCATAACCCCCAAAATCAATCCCAACCTTCCTTTTGTGGTATTAAACCTTATGGTCAAATTTCAAAAAGATCCATTCACTTAAACTAAAGTTAGAGTGCGAAAACCAATATGTATTCGGACGACGACGCCGGACGACGACGACGACGACGACGACGACGCCAACGTCATACCAATATACGACCACAAAATTTTTTTGCGGTCGTATAAAAACTATATATTTTTGGAAGATAAGTTTTCTTATAACACTGTTTTGTTTACTTCTTTGCAAAGTTTTATTCATACTAAGGTAAGTTGATACAGGTCTGACACATTTCATGAAGAAAAGTTCTTACACTTATTCTATGTCTCAATAGTTCTTACCCTTATTCTCTTTCTCAATAGTTCTTACCCTTATTCTCTTTCTCATTAGTTCTTACTCTAATTATATGTCTTAAAAAATTGCTTCGCCAAGCGCAGCTGGATACGACTGCAGAGGTCCAACCCTGAACAGTTTGGGCAAAAATGGACCCAATATTCGTGCTTGATACAGGTCTGAATTTGGATTGTAATTAAATATTTGACACATAAAAGATTTCTGACACAGAATAACTGTAGTCAAAGAACTTAGAATTGGTTATATGATTTGAATTTATATTCAATTTTTTGCTTTTGTGCAATACACTTTGCTGTTGCGAATTGACCCCCCTCCCCCACGAAAAAAAAATAAAAAATTTACCCCCCCCTTTTTTTTTTTGCTTTTGTGCAATACGCTATGCTGTTGCGTATTAACCCCCCACCCCCACACTTTTTTTTTAATTCTTCTTTTTAATTTCTGAAATCTGAATTGAGAAAAATTGACCCCCCACAATTTCTTTTTAACCCCCCCCCCCCCCCCCCCCCCTTTTCCCCTCAAAAATTCTTTCCCTCAAGATATGGTCATAATCTCAATTCACATTTCCAATGGAGTTTGCAACCATAATTACCAATTTAAATTTACCATAGTGCTAACTTAATCTATTTTATAATAGAATTTAAAATATGGTGTCAAATCTTTCATATTTAAAGAAATGAATATTTATAAAGGAAGACCAGTGAAAATATCTGCAAATGTTGCATCTTTTTTTTTTTAACAAAAATAACCATTACTTTATACATAATTTAAAAGCAGTGTAAGGGAGGTAATTCAAATGATGTAGTTCAATTACCTCCCTTACACTGCTTTAAATTATGTTTTGTACTAAAGTATTTGTCCATTAACCAGGACACCCTTGTTTTTCCCCCTTTTTTGCCCCTAATTCCTAAACGGTTTGAGCTATAACCCCCCAAAGCAAATCCTAACCATCCCTTTGTGGTATGGAAACTTGTGGTATAATTTCAGAGAGATCCATACACCGTTTCAGAAGTTATTGTCTGGAAACTAGAAAAATGCTTATTTTTGGCCCCTTTCTGGCCCCTGATTCCTTAACTGTTAGGACCATAACCCCCAAAATCAATCCCAACCTTCCTTTGGTGGTATTGAAACTTATGGTAAAATTTCATAGAGATCCATTCACTTTAACTAAAGTTATTGTGCGAAAACCAATGTGTCTTCGGACGACGACGCCATTGTCATACCAATATACAACCTCAAAAATGTATAAAAGTTCTTACCCTTATTCTGTCTCAATAGTTCTTACCCTTATTCTCTGTCTCAATTATTCTTCCCCTTATTCTTTTTCTCAATATTTCTTACCCTTATTATCTGTCTCAATAGTTCTTCTTATTCTCTGTCTCAATAGTTCTTACCCTTATTCTCTGTCTCAATAGTTCTTACCCTTATTATCTGTCTCAATAGTTCTCATCCTTATTCTCTGTCTCAATAGTTCTTCCCCGTATTCTCAGTCTCAATCGTTCTTCCCCGTATTCTTTGTCTCAAAAGTTCTTACCCTTATTCTCTGTCTCAATAGTTCTTACCCTTATTATCTGTCTCAATAGTTCTTACCCTTATTCTCTGTCTCAATAGTTCTTACCCTTATTATCTGTCTCAATAGTGCCTACCCTTATTCTCTGTCTCAATAGTTCTTCCCCTTATTCTCTGTCTCAATAGTTCTTACCCTTATTATGTCTCAATAGTTCTTACCCTTATTCTCTGCTGAAAAGTTCTTACCCTTATTATCTGTCTCAATAGTTCTCACCCTTATTATCTGTCTCAATAGTTCTTACCCTTATTCTCTGTCTCAATAGTTCTTACCCTTATTATCTGTCTCAATAGGTCTCCCCCTTTTTATCTCTCTCAGTAGTTCTCACCCTTATTCTTTGTCTAAATAGTTCTTCCTCTTATTCTCTGTCTCAATAGTTCTTACCCTTATTCTCTGTCTCAATAGTTATTACCCTTATTCTCTGTCTCAATAGTTATTACCCTTATTCTCTGACTCAATAGTTCTCACCATTATTCTCTGACTCAATAGTTCTTACCCTTATTATCTGTTTCAATAGTTCTTACTCTTATTCTCTGTCTCAATAGTTATTACCCTAATTCTCTGACTCAATAGTTCTTATCCTAATTCTCTGTCTCAATAGTTTTTACTCTATGTTCTGTCTCAATAGTTCTTCCCCTTATTCTCTGTCTCAATAGTTCTTCCCCTTATTCTCTGTCTCAATAGTTCTTACTCTTATTCTCTGTCTCAATAGTTCTTCCCCTTATTCTCTGTCTCAATAGTTCTTACTCTTATTCTCTGTCTCAATAGTTCTCACTCTTATTCTCTGTCTCAAAACTTCTTACCTTTATTCTCTATTTGAACTATTCTACAGGAGATGATTTACGTTTAAAGAAGAGTGACAATGTGAGAATTCAAAGGCATACATTGACTGGTCCAAATATCTTTTTTTCATTTTATTATAAATATTATCACAGAGTATAAATCAATTTCATTGTCATATTAACAAGTGTTAGGTATCTGTAGTAAAGTAACAAGTATTGCACAGAATATATCCAAGATCATTGTAATATAAGCACATCATCATTATGCTGCTAATGAAGCAAGAGCATCTGTTCCAAATAATCCTTCAAAATGTTTTACATATTCTTCACAATGCTCACCTGTAATAAAATAAGGATATTTAAGGATGTATTCTTCTGATGTTACAGTCTCGTTGAAATCTCGTTCTGGAATTATGTCCAAAACATGTGATACAAGTGGAAAATATCAATGAATTTAAAAAATGTTATAATCAAACTTAACTCTGTGAAAAAATTGCGTATTTACAATGAGTAGTTTTTGGGTAATCAATTTTTCAAATTTTTTTACTAATCAAGTCAGTATTTTGAGGCAAAATTTTGAGAAAATGGGTGAGGGGTACAAGAAATGATTTTACCAGAAACATGTACATCCAATATAACTTTTTTCTTTTCAAATTTCTAAGATATGTATTTTTTCAATCATTTATAACAAAGAAGTTGAAATAATATGCATTTTGGTCTTAAAACAGAGATAAATCACAATTTTACAAAATTAACAGCATGGTTAATTTGTCACAAAAAAGCATCAAAATATGATAAAACTTTCTTATATTAACACCTACCTATAGTTTTTGCAAGTAAAATTTATTCACATTGGTCCACTTCATCTTTGTTGAAAGTATGAAAAAAAGTTTAATTGTAGAACTGTGATTTTTTCACGATAATAGCCCAAAAATAGGTAAAAATTGATGAAATGTGGGAAAATCTTCAAAATTGGGTACTTTCAAAGGGCCGTAGCAAAAAAAGAAGTGCACCACCATATGATTTTTTCTTCACCTATTATTTTTTTACAGTCATATAAACCCAAAAATCAGGTTAAGAAAAAAAGTTTAATTCAAGAAATTTTTGGCTCCTCAGAGGTGTACATCCTTAACTTAATTAGTTGAACGCAAAGTTTAACATATACATTATTCTGTTAATTAGAATTCACAGATATATCTATAATTTTATGGTGAACTGTTGAGGTTTCTTCAGAATTATTTTTTGTTATTTTTTTTAAATTTAAGTCTATTCCCGTTGTATTGAAGTGTACCAAAGGTACTTAAAAAGTAATAAGTGCCTGATAGGTATTCCAAAGACTTTTTCCCCTATGGTTACACCAATAGTAAGAATATTTACCTGCAGGGAATCTAGGATTTTGTCTTAATCTGATATTTCTTTGCTCAAAAAATTTAAACACTGTATAAAATAACATTGAATCATCTGTGTTCATGGCTGCTTCTAAAAATTTCCTGGCTGATACTGTATCTACTATCCCTACACTTCTAATAAACCTGTAAAATACAATAGTCATGAATATTGCACCTCAATGGTATTTATGAGACTAACAAATTGTTTTATCTTGGCAGCAATGCAGCTAGATATGTAAGATTTGTATGGTATGTAGGTTTTTTTGTGAATGAATTACATTTAGGCTATAGGCAATACACTGATGTATATCTCTGCCTTAACAGGTGGTTCGATAACAGGTGATTCAATAGAAAACCAGCAGATCACTATTATTTTTCACTAAAAAGGTTCAGTACAATTATCCAAAAAATCTGTGAAATTATTCCATCAATGTTGAAAAAAAAATCAACATTTGATCCCAAATGCAAAGTTTTGAATAATATTGAGAAAAACTGAGAAAAAAAAAAAAAAACATGACACAAACTATTTAAACATTCAACGACAAATATGACTCTAAGTTCCACAAATGGGAAACTGGAGAAAAAAATCTGTCCAAAATAGGAGTACATCATCAATGTGTGTGCATTCACTGTGCAAAGATTGAATACCATTGATTGAAAACTGTTGAACCTAGGTATGACACAAATTAGGTACCCTATATGTGTTTCAGATTGATATAATAATGGAAGGATTGAGTAGAGATAATTCTGTAGAGATTTATATATTTTGTTGAACATACCTTACAGCAGGAAGTAACTGATGTTTTGATAATAGCACCTCAATTATTTCTTCATTTGCTGTTGATACTCTCTAAAAATATGTAAAATATAATAGTTCATTTTTGTTAAATAATATTACATAGCATTTAGCTTATTGTCATCTAAAAATTTTGCTTAATATTTCATATTTTTTCCTTTCAAAATAATTATCTTCAAAAGCGTAGAGTTGAATAGAGATGAACATAAAAAGGCACTGTAAAGACTGACCTTTAACATGTCTAGAGCCAACTGATGAGCCGGAGCATATACATGTTCTAAAGACAACATCAAACAAGCTAACGGTTTTGAATCGGCTAACACATGGTACTGTAAAAACTGATGCAGTTGGTAAAAACAATTATTTCTCACTAAAATATTGATGATCAATTCATACAGGTAATGCTGAAAATAAACAATCAATATTTACAAAAATCAATTAGATTTATCCCAAGCATATTTTGCATGATTATTGTGCAATATTATTGGTTATGTCATGGTCAGTCCCATTTACCATGAGTCCATGACTATCCCTACTAAACAATGTTATCTGTAAGAAATTTTCTTGTATTTAAATATTAGTTGCCAAATCTATTACCACCAATTTGACTCAAACTCATAGGTCGTAGATTAAAAAAATATATGAATCATTGTTTAACCTGTATAAGAATGATTTTTTTGTTGACCAAATCAGTCAACAAAATAGTTTTTCCTGGTTACTCCCTTGTTTCAATTTTGACATTATTTTTTTTTTTGATAACTGAACATGCTAAGCACATACACAACCCATCTCCATCTAAGGGTCAAAGTATGGTTACATGCATATGGACCCAATTGAGGTCAAATTATTTTCTTGCAAGACAATATATCATACTGTCATGTTTTTTTAGCTTAGTTTTACAATATTTAACGAATCTGGCTGCTTATAATGAATTATTATTTCTATACAAGTATTCTGCTGTAATAATTTTGAAAAAAAAAATATCATACTTAAATTTTTTCTCTAAATTCTAGCTAATGTCCCTTCAAGTATATATGCAAGCCTCAAATCAATGTACAGTCTTGAATCTCTGTCCTATTCTATATTGCATCATAGATGTCACAAATCTTTGGGGAAATATTTTTGTTGTAAAAAAGCATCTAGATGCCAAGCAGTAAAATAGATTTGTCTTGTTTTTAGTTTTGTTAATTGAATTGTGACAATCTAATGAGTCAAGCCCTTTTCATCTACTTTTTGCAGTTTATTTTTCGTTATTGTTATAATGGTCCCAGATTAGGTAAGGTTGCTTTAACCCTGACAAATTATATATGTGCCTGTTCTAAGTCACATCACATTACTAAAAGTCTACTTTATAAAAAGGAAACAGATTTGAATAAGCAAAGGGACACATATTTGAGTGTTATGTTCCTATAAATATTGTATATCAAGACTTGATTTGTATACATGTATCAGCAGATTTAGTATTATGAGCTATTGTGTATCAGACAATCAAAGCAAAGTTGTTTTTCATAAAATTTTGTATTCTATAAACAATAAACAGATATAACAAATTGTATTATATCTTTCAGATCCTCAAATTTTGAAGATATATGCTCTTTATGATAAGGGGGGAGAAACTTATTTAACATTGCCCCATGTGTTATGTATCTGTTTATAATAATGGGGAGAAACTTATTTAACATTGCCCTATGTGTTATGTATCTGATATATGCACTTTATAATAAGGGGGGAGAAACTTATTTAACATTGCCCCATGTGTTATGTATCTGATATGTGCTTTTTATAATAAGGGGGAGGGGGAGAAACTTATTTAACATTGCCCCATGTGTTATGTATCTGATATGTGCTCTTTATAATAAGGGGGGAGAAACTTATTTAACATTGCCCCATGTGTTATGTATCTGATATGTGCTCTTTATAATAAGGGGGAGAAACTTTTTTAACATTGCCCCACGTGTTATGTATCTGATATGTGCTCTTTATAATAAGGGGGGAGAAACTTATTTAACATTGCCCCATGTGTTATGTATCTGATATGTGCATTTTATAATAAGGGGGGAGAAACTTATTTAACATTGCCCCATGTGTTATGTATCTGATAGGTGCTCTTTATAATAAGGGGGGAGAAACTTATTTAACATTGCCCCATGTGTTATGTATCTGTTAGGTGCTCTCTATAATAAGGGGGGAGAACTTATTTAACATTGCCCTATGTGTTATGTATCTGATAGGTGCTCCTTATAACAAGGGGAGGGAACTTATTTAACATTGCCCCATGTGTTATGCATCTGATAGGTGCTCTTTATAATAAGGGGGGAGAAACTTATTTAACATTGCCCCATGTGTTATGCATCTGATAGGTGCTCTTTATAACAAGGGGGGAGAAACTTATTTAACATTGCCCCATGTGTTATGTATCTGTTAGGTGCTCTTTATAATAAGGGGGGAGACACTTATTTAACATTGCCCAAGGTGTTATGTATCTGATAGGTGCTCTTTATAATAAGGGAGAGACACTTATTTATCATTGCCCCATGTGTTATGTATCTGATAGGTGCTCTTTATAACAAGGGGAGAGAACTTATTTCACATTGCCCCATGTGTTATGTATCCGATAGGTGCCCATTATAACAAGGGGAGGGAATATATTTAACATTGCCTCATGTGTTATGTATCTGATAGGTGCTCTTTATAATAAGGGAGAGACACTTATTTATCATTGCCCCATGTGTTATGTATCTGATAGCTCTTTATAACAAGGGGAGGGAACATATTTAACATTTCCTCATGTGTTATGTATCTGATAGGTGCACTTTATAATAAGAAGAAGAAACTTATTTAACATTGCCCAAGGTGTTATGTATCTGATAGGTGCTCTTTATAATAAGGGAGAGACACTTATTTATCATTGCCCCATGTGTTATGTATCTGATAGGTGCTCTTTATAACAAGGGCAGGGAACTTATTTAACATTGCCCCGTGTGTTATGTATCTGATAGGTGCTCTTTATAACAAGGGGAGGGAACTTATTTAACATTGCCCCATGTGTTATGTATCTGATATGTGCACTTTATAATAAGGGGTGAGGGGGGGGTGGGGAGAGGGAGAAACTTATTTAACATTGCCCTATCTGTTATGTATCTGGGGCTCGAATCACAAAAAATCTTACGACTAAAATTGAATGTAAGTTATACTTAAATGTTCATGACTTACGAGTGGTTTTACTTGTACCATTTTTTGTGAAAAGAGTCGCTGATCTGTGCTCTTTAAAATAAAGGGGGAGACACTTATTTGACATTGCCCCATGTGTTATGTATCTGATATGTGCCCTTTATAACAAGGGGAAGGAACTTATTTAACATTGCCCCATGTGTTATGTATCTGATATGTGCACTTTATAATAAGGGGGGGGGGGAAACTTATTTAACATTGCCCTATGTGTTATGTATCTGATATGTGCTCTTTATAATAAGGGGAGACACTTATTTAACATTGCCCTATGTGTAATGTATCTGGTATGTGCTCTTTATAATAAGGGGGGAGACACTTATTTAACATTGCCCTATGTGTTATGTATCTGATAGGTGCTCTTTATATTAAAGGGAAGAAACTTATTTTACATTGCCCCAAGTGTAATGTATCTGGTATGTGCTCTTTATAATAAGGGGGGAGAAACTTATTTAACATTGCCCTATGTGTTATGTATTTGATAGGTACTCTTTATAACAAAGGGAGGGAACTTATTCAACATTGCCCCATGTGTTATGTATCTGATAGGTGCTCTTTATAACAAGGGGAGGGAACTTATTTAACATTGCCCTATGTGTTATGTATCTGGGGCTCTTTTCACAAAAAATCTTACGACTAAAATTGAATGTAAGTTATACTGAAATGTTCATGACTTACGAGTGGTTTTACTTGCAAGATTTTTTGTGAAAAGAGTTGCTGATCTGTGCTCTTTATAATAAGGGGAGACACTTATTTAACATTGCCACATGTGTTATGTATCTGATATGTGCTCTTTATAATAAGGAGGAGACACTTATTTAACATTGCCCCATGTGTTATGTATCTGATATGTGCTCTTTATAATAAGGGGGGAGAAACTTATTTAACATTGCCCTATGTGTTATGTATCTGATATGTGCTCTTTATAATAAGGGGGGAGACACTTATTCAACATTGCCCCATGTGTTATGTATCTGATATGTGCTCTTTATAATAAAGGGGAGACACTTATTCAATATTGCCCTATGTGTTATGTATCTGATAGGTGCTCTCTATAATAAAGGGGAGAAACTTATTCAACATTGCCCTATGTGTTATGTACCTGATAGGTGCTCTTTATAATAAGGGGGGAGAAACTTATTTAACATTGCCCCACGTGTTATGTATCTGGTATGTGCACTTTATAATAAGGGGAAGAAACTTATTTAACATTGCGCCATGTGTTATGTATCTGAAAGGTGCTCTTTATAACAAGGGGGGAGAAACTTATTTTACATTGCCCTATGTGTTATGTATCTGGGGCTCTTTTCACAAAAAATCTTACGACTAAATTTGAATGTAAGTTATACTGAAATGTTCATGACTTGCAAGTAGTTTTACTCGTAAGATTTTTTGTGAAAAGAGTCGCTGATCTGTGCTCTTTTTAATAAGGGGGGAGAAACTTATTTAATATTTCCCCATGTGTTATGTATCAGATATGTGCTCTTTATAATAAGGGGGGAGGGGGAGAAACTTATTTAACATTGCCCTATGTGTTATGTTTCTGGGGCTCTTTTCACAAAAAATCTTATGACTAAATTTGAATGTAAGTTATACTGGAATGTTCATGACTTACGAGTGGTTTTACTCGTAAGATTTTTTGTGAAAAGAGTTGCTGATCTGTGCTCTTTATAATAAGGGGAGAGACACTTATTTAACATTGCCCCATGTGTTATGTATCTGATATGTGCTCTTTATAATAAGGGGGGAGAAACTTATTTAACATTGCCCTATGTGTTATGTATCTGATAGGTGCTCTTTATAACAAGGGGAGGGAACTTATTTAACATTGCCCCATGTGTTATGTATCTGATATGTGCTCTTTATAATAAGGGGGAGACACTTATTCAACATTGCCCTATGTGATATGTATCTGATATGAGCTCTTTATAATAAGGGGGAGAAACTTATTTAACATTGGCCCACGTGTTATATATCTGATATGTGGTCTTTATAATAAGGGGGAGACACTTATTTAACATTGCCCTATGTGTTATGTATCTGATAGGTGTTCTTTATAACAAGGGGGAGAAACTTATTTGACATTGCCCCATGTGTTATGTATCTAATAGGTGCCCTTTATAACAAAGGGAGGGAACTTATTTAACATCTCCCCATGTGTTATGTATCTGATAGGTGCTCTTTATAATAAGGGAGAGACACTTATTTGACATTGCCCTATGTGTTATGTATCTGATATGTGCCCTTTATAACAAGGGGAGGGAACTTATTTAACATTGCCCTATGTGTCATGTATCTGATAGGTGCTCTTTATAATTAGGGGGGAGAAACTTATTTAACATTGCCCATGTGTTATGTATCTGATAGGTGCTCTTTATAATAAGGGGAAGAAACCTATTTAACATTGCCCTATGTGTTATGTATGTGATAGGTGCTCTTTATAATAAGGGGAAGACACTTATTTAACATTGCCCTATGTGTTATGTATCTGATATGTGCTCTTTATAATAAGGGGGGGGGGAACTTATTTAACATTGCCCCAGGTTTTATGTATCTGATATGTGCTCTTTATAATAAGGGGGAGAAACTTATTTGACATTGCCCATGTGTTATGTATCTGTCTAAATTCATGAACCTTGTAAGTCTATGTTTATATATTTATGTTTTTGTTGATTGTAAGATCCCGTGTCAATAGTTGCCTTGCTAGAATGGGGGAAATTTTATACTATTTCTAACACCTTTTCAGAAAAGGAAAATCTGTTTTTCTAATATCTACAAACAAGAGGCTCATGAGAGCCTGATATCGCTCACCTGTAATTTCAGTTTCAGGCATTTGACTTATTTGTAGATCTTACTTTGCTGAACAATTTTGTCATTTACACTTTCTCTCTTTCTATAATAGTATTAAAGATAATTCATAACCCAAAACTGTAAAATTTCCAAAAAATTAACTATTTCTGGACAGTTACCTAACAATAAGTTGTCCTAATGGTCTGAAGATTACTTGACAGGTATATCTAAACCTGTTTAACACTTTCACCTATGTCAGTTTTGCTCTTACTGCTTTAGTTTTTGATATGAAAGCCAAAAACTTCATTTGACCCCTATGTTCTATTTTTAGAAACTGTCGCCATGTTTTTGAATGGATCAAATCCCCAAATACAATCTATAAACTAGATACCCTAAGGAACATTTAATTAAAGTTTTTAAGTTTTTGGCCAAGTAGTTTCAGAGAAGAAGATTTTTGAATAGACTTGCACAAAAAAATGTAAAAATAAACATTTCAAGGGCAATAACTCCTTAAGGAGTCAATTGACTTATTTGTAGATCCTACTTAGCTGAACATTTTTGCCATTTACACTTCCTCTCTATCTATTATAATATTAAAGATAACCAAAAACAGTAAAATTTCATAAAAATAAACTATTTCGGACAGTAACCCTACAATGGGTGGTCCAATTGGTCTGAAAATTTCAAAGCAGATAGATTTTGACTTATTCATCACTTTTACTCTTGTCACTTTTGCTCTAACTGGTATAGTTTTTGAGATAAAAGCCAAAAACTGCATTTGATCCCTATGTTCTATTTTTAGCCATGGCGGCCATGTTTGTTAATGGAGCAAAACTTTGGATACAATTTATAAACCAGTTACCCTAAGGAACATTCAGTTAAAGTTTAGAAGTATAAGGCCCAGTAGTTTCAGAGGAGAAGATTTTTAAATGTTAGCAAACATGATGAACAACTTGTGTAAAATTGTCTTTAAAGGGCAGTAACTCCTAAAGGGTTCAATTGACAATTTTGGTCATATTAAACTTTTTTGTAGATCTTACTTTGCTGAACATTTTTGCTGTTTACAGTTTATCTTTATCTTCAATAATATTCAAGATAATAACCAAAAACTGCAAAATTTTCTAAATATTACCAATTTAGTGGCAGCAACCCAACAATGGGTTGTTCGGTTTGTCTGAAAATTTCTGGGCCAATAGATCTTGACTTATTGAACATTTGAGCATTTGACCCCTATGTTCTATTTTTAGCCATGGCGGCCATGTTTGTTGATGGATCAAAACTACGTAAACAATTTATAAACTAGATACCCTAAGGAACATTCAGTTAAAAGTTTGAAGGTATTTGGCCCAGTAGTTTCAGAGGAGAAGAATCTTGAAATAGTTTAAGACTATGACGACGGCGCCAAGTGATGGCATAAGCTCACATGGGGTCCTTCGGGCCTGGTGAGCTTAAAAGGGAATATTACACATGTTCATTAATTATGGTTTAGCAAGCTATTAACATACATTGTATTCAATACTAATTTACTAAATTGAACATGCAACTTCAAGGCCCTCAAACAACTCATCACTTATTAAGTAGGAATATGTAACTCAATTTTCCTATGGTCTACACTATTTCTACCTTTCCCTCATATTTACCTGAACAGGAATGTTACATTGGCTCAATGATCTTATATATTCTATTAATACTGCTACTTTAAACTTATATTTTATCTCCTGAAATGAAAAAAGTACATGTTTAGTAAAAGATGAAATCTAAAATGAACCTTAAATATTGTAAGAACAATGAAATAACTTTAAAACACTGAGCTTAAGAATACCATGTCTTTAAAAATAAGTATTAGAGGTAACAAGTAGACAGGAATACTCCAGGAGGAGGTAAACAGGACAGTCAAAACCACCTACAGTTAACATTGTCTGAAGGAAATATTGCATCCTTATTTTATAACAAACTGCTTAACTTATGAATTGTAAATTTTACAAATGGTATCTTTATAAAATCAAGCATTCTGAGAGTATTGTATGGCAATACATAGTCCCCTATCAGTAAAGAATTCATTGTACTGAAACAAAATGCTAACTTGATCTATAACTTTGCATGGTGTAAACTATACAACAAATATCAAGTCAATATCTTCAAGCATGACAAAAAAAAGTGTGAAAAACTGATTATTTGAGTGAATTTTCTAAGTCCAAGAACCATAACTCTGCAAAAAATCATCAGACCGGAACATAATTCGAACTTGATCTGTAACTTGTCATGATAAAACTATATTCCAATTATTAAATCAATATCTTCAAGCATGACAAAAAAAAAAGTGTGGAAAACTGATTATTTGAGTAAACTTTCTAAGTCCAAGGACCATAACTCTGCACAAAATCATCAGACCGGAACATAATTCCAACCTTATCTGTAACTTGTCATGATAAAAGAATATATCAAATTTCAAATCAATATCTTTGTGAGATCTCAACCCTCCCCCTAAACCTCTAGCCAATGAGGAATAAACAAATACACAGCAATATGCATGGTTAAACTCAGTTTCAAAGAAGTTTGAGTCCAATATTAGAATAGGTTGATTTGATTTTGATTTTTTGTGTTTTAACGCCACTTTTAAGCACCGTTTTTGGGCTATTTCGAGGCGGCCAGTTTTTGTTGGTGGAGGAAGCCGGAGTGCCCCGGAGAAAACCACTGACCTTCGATAGGAAAACTGACAATCCTAGTCAACTAAGATTGGAGTCGAGTGCACCTGCACGAGCGGGGTTCGAACTCACAACCTCAGTGTTGACTGGCTAGTGATTACAGTAGTATTAGAATAGGAAACAGAAGAAATTAAGCAAAATGACAATGATCAACATAAATTAACAAAGGACTACTAGCAGTTACTGATGATGCCAGCTCACGTCCTCAATTAAACTGATCAAAAGATTATGTCTTCATCATAAGAAAATCAAGCACAATCCCTCCTGATAGGGGTTTAATGTCATGCCATCATAAATTATACAAGAAGAATATAACCTGTATCATGCCAACAACTGGTTTTAGAACAAATGTGTTTATTTCCAATGCTAAGACCCTATCAGTGAACCAATATTAATTCCAAAAGATGCCAGCTTTAATGACTTAAAAACAGTATCGTAACTATATCCCTTCTTTATAAGTCTGTTTAAAGGTTTGGTTAGCTTTTGAGGTGAATGAGTTGAAGGGGTCAAATTTAGTACCAAGTAACCATTGCTTTCAGTCTATACCTTGTATGTAAAGGATGGTACAATACCTCATTATCTTCAAATTCTGAGAATACATGAGTATACATTTCTGACTGGTCTACTATAACTTGTGCTTGGTTGAAATCAGGGGCAGGATTCTCACCAGCCTACAATTTACATAAATGTATGCAATATATACTATTTATATTGAATGCATCGAGCAATGACAGTATTTATGGCTTTGAGCTTTTATATTCTATTTCTAGAATTAATTTTTCAATCCCAGTCTTTTATGGTAATAATATTTACAAAGCAAACAAATCTGGGAATTGTCTTTCAAATCTTTTTTTAATAGCTTAATAAGCAACTTCAGAAAGCTTCTAATTCTATAATCGTTATTATATCCTTGTGTCTAGTTTTTTTTTTTCTGTCTTACAGCTCTGTACTTTATGCATTGCACAATATCATGTCTTTTTGCAATGTTCATGATATTTCTATACAAAATCTACTCAGAAATACAGAAATATTCTGTAACTTAAATCTATGTTATTGTCATCTATTATACTGTTAGGTATATCATAGGTACTTTTTCTTAACTGATATTTGTTTTTATGATCTTCTGAACTTTTTGCTTTTTCATTGATCAAAGTTAAATTGAAGAGTACCAAAAATTAGTTTAACCTGCATATGTCCATGTGCCTGTCCCAAGTCAAGTTTAGGACTAAATTAAATCTTTGTTCAAATGTTGAATTGTTAAGCACTCCACCTCAATTTGTATAGTTTGTGTGAAATTAATCTATTTATCAATATTCCATAACATTTTAATGTCCAGCCTACGATAGTAAGAGAGGCATAATGCTTTCTTGTCTGTGTAATGTGTTATGTGTGTGTCTGTCAGTTAGTCTATTTGTTCATCCCGGATCAAGTTATTGGTTTAGGTAGTTTACCATGAAGCTGTTGTCATATCAACTTGAAGCATAGCATGTATGTTCATTATGATGTAAATTAAAATAATATATGTCAATTAGGGTTTTGAACAACATTTTGCAGATCACTGAACATGACTGAAAGCGCAAACGGGGCATTGTGTCATATATATTTCTTTTTTGTTTTTATATTTCCAAAAATTTCAAATATTAACATAATATAAATTAATTTCAAATTAACAAATTTCAGCACATATACTGTAAACATACATATTAATCAACCTACCAGTATTAGCACATATACTGTAAACATACATATTAATCAACCTACCAGTATTAGCACATATACTGTAAACATACATATTAATCAACCTACCAGTATTAGTAATCAACCTACCAGTATTAGTAATCAACCTACCAGTATTAACACCTCTTTTTCTAAATGTTGTTGGTAAACTTTATTCAGCATATCTAATATTCTGGCTATTGTAGATAAATCAGCCTGTTGTCCTGGTTTTAACATTTCTCGACATACAGATAATATTACTGCTTTACTATCTTTTCGAAGTAATAAAAGTTTCATCAGACGACTCTGTAAAAAGGGAGATAACTGTCAAAGCTTGAGCCATTGTTAATATTGAGTGGATAAAACCTAACAACTTTGTCAATTGCTGATTACAAATTGTAATATGGTAAATGGTTGTCGAGAAATTGGTCATAAAAATATCTCTTGATATCGGTACGGTAAGTGAGGAGACCTAGTTGGGTTTGCATCGTTATTAGTTTTATCTATTCACAGAATATGAAATATCATCATCATGGTAACTGCGCCAGAGATAAATACTGATCAACAATCACAATAATAAACACACAGTAAAATCTATGTACATGTATAATAACCCTATTTTACAGTAAAATCTCTGTACATAAAATTGAGAATGGAAATGGGGAATGTGTCAAAGAGACAACAACCCGACCATAGAGCAGATGTTAACATGTATATTAACCCTTTTTTTGTTAATCTAATAAAAGTCATAATTTTAAAATTACAAATTCATTAGAGACAGAATTATCTATGCAAAATAATGGATATTGGGTGAAGTCTTTTAATAGTGCTTTGTTACTGCAGATATATTTGAAAGTAAAACACCCTTTTTCTGCAAACATACCTTGTCTGGTATCATTGTAACTAAAGGTTCTAACTTCAACTCTACATACCACAAACATCCTGTAAATGATAAATGTTTTCATTCTCAACAATATCATAGTCATTTATCATTGCTTTTTTAAAATCTACCCAATAGTAAGTGCGTTTGTATAAGTCATGATTTCCTTAGCACTTAATTTTGTCCCACAGTAGTTACTGTTTTGCAATTGTCATGGTTTACTACATACACTGGAATAAATTTTCAGGCCCTAAATTTTTTTTCTTACAAAAACTGATTCTAATTCTTTATAAAATTAAGATGTGGTATGATTGCCAATGAGATAACTTTCCACCAAAGACCAAATGACGTACAAGGTTAGCAACTATAGGTCACCGTACAGCCTTCAACAATGAGCAAAACCCATTATGCATAGCATGCTATAAAAGGCCATGAAATGCCTGGAAAAGTAAACCTTACATGCTAAATTCATATTCTTTAGGCTCTTCTGATTATATCACTCCCATGCATCTTTGAAAAAGTTTACCTAAAACATAATTTGCTATTCTCTTTGAGACCTTTTTTATGATATTATTTTCTGCTATATTTCAATTAGTAAATTTATATACTTTTAATCTACTATGATAGGATATTATACTTACCTAATTTAGCATCTATAACAATATTTGGCTGGAAAACTATCCAGTTGGCTGAATCTTGTCAACAGTAAAGGATATAAATGGCTGACATATTACATATCAAATAAAACTAGAGGTCAAAGGTTTTTTTTAATTCATTCTCTTATTTGTGTTACACCTATATGCAAAATATGACAAGTCTAATTCAAAAGACATCAAAATTCTGACCTAGGCTTCCCAGTATGAATCAAAAGATTGATTGATTGATTGTTGCTTGCTTAACATCCAGTGGCATTTATTCCATGCATTTTTCAGGACAAGAAACCTTTAACAACTAATAAAATAGGAAGGTTCTGCAAGGTAGACAGACAGGGGTTAAGGGCCAGAAATTTTGACTGCCACTGAAAATGATGTAATTTGGACAAGGAGCAGAAATTTAGCCTTATAACAGTTCAACAACATGGCCTTAAAGAGTTGTTGCTAGGGTTCTTTAATGTGCAGAGAGAGTGACATTCTCTCTACAGGAGGCATCATAGTTAAAGTCTCAATTTAAAATTGGCAAGGCTGCATAGTTGTACGTTCCACACAGCTAAACTGACAACCAACTTTGGCAAAGGTTATACTGTTGGAGGGGAGAAGACCAGGTGACCATATTTCTATACCTCAGAAACGCATGGGTTTTAGAATCAAAGAAGAACAACAATGCCAAAGGAAGAAATCAGGATAAACAATATGTTAACTTCCCTGAAGAGGGGACATAATTTTCTATCAAAGGATACATAATTCACAATTGTACTCCATCATTTTATTTTCTTGAACACAAAGAGCTACAAAATAAGATATGTGTAAATCATCATTGGAAAGAATAGGATTTCACTTTACTAACTAATTAAATAAACATATATTTGTCAAAAAGTGAAATCACTGTCTTTCAAATTTTAAATCACTCAATTTAATAAACATATCATTTTTTGTTAACATGAATAAGTCTACTTTATAGAAAAGTATCAATTTTGCATTTACAAACAGAATATATTCAAATCTTGTCACAAATAAAATAGCTTTATCAAAAAGTTTGGTATTTTTTTTTAAATTCAAAAAGAATGATCAGCTTATTTAATCTATTTTCTATGAAAATAAGAACATGACTATTCATGAACAGGTAAATCTCAACTAAAATGTAGAGCACACATGATGTTTGATTATAACATTGTGTTTATGAACACATACTTACACGGCAAAAGTAGCTTAAATGGTTTGAGAGGCAGTGGTGATACAACAGGATAATGATATTTGGCAAAACCATCGGTCTCTGTTTCTAATTGGGTATCAAATATAACAGATGTCTACAAAATATACATATGCATAAATGTCATTGATTGCTTTGTTTTGTCTGCTTAAAATTAATAAACAGCTGCGCCACGAGCGCATGATACGCCTGTCGTCTTGTGTGTGAGGTTTTATACAGTAATCATAAATCGTTTTTGAGATACGGTGTGACATGTGAAAACCCCCCTTTTTTTATAAAAAAAACAATCTCTAAAATAAAATTTTGAATCATCACCAAAAAGTATACAGATCTTTAGATTAATATAACTAAGAAGTGTGTAAAGTTTTAAGCAATAATCATAAATCGTTTTTGAGATACGGCGCAACATGTGAAAAAAACACCCCCTGTTTTAGTTACAAAGTCCCGTAACTCAAAAAGTTTTAATCTTATTTTCACCAAAAAGTATACAGATCGTTTGACCATCATAAGAAACAACTATGTTAAGTTTCTGAAATTTGGATAAGTCGTTCTCAAGTTACGGTGCGACATGTGGATGCCAGACAGACAGACAGACAGACAGACAGGACAGACGCCGGACATTTGTATACCATAATACGTCCAGTCAAAATTTTGACGGGCGTATAAAAAGGGAAGAGACAAATATTTCACGCATATGCAGGATGATAAAGCGTTAATGAGATAAAAAATATCCAGACTGACAACCAGGTTTGTATATGCTAACAAACAATGTAACAATTCACAGAAGGACAAATCACTTAACTCAGACATATTATTCTAATTCAGAGTCCACCAGTCTTTGCTCTTACTCCTATACGTTTCATGGTTGGCAGAGGAGCAGAAAATGTGACATAAAATGTATCTCGTTTAGATATTAGTGCACTTCAATAATACAACTAGTTTTTATTTTCTGAGATTCTAAATATCCTTTTGTTTAAAACTGCATTTAGACTGTACATGCTGAGGATGCTATAGCTTTTGCCTTGATATCTTCCAGAATGTAACAATCAGGAAAGATGAATTTACATATCATACCTTAGAAGCTTGATGATGGACCACTATTAAATTATCAGCAACATTTATAGCAAATCTTCCACTCATATCTAATCTTAAAACATCTGTTTTACGTGCTGGTGTGTCCCTAAAATAAAACAAATTGTACATTTGTATATTACACAACAAAAACATCGTCACTTAAACCTTGTTACATTTATTTTATAGCAAGTGTTCATCCTGATTTTTGAGATTCTCTGATTGTTTAATTTAAATTTAATTTAAATCTCCAAATGACTGCCATATTTAGTCCAAATTGGGTTCTATTTCTTATGTATAATTTTAAATGTTAAAATCCTAAAATTATGAAGACAAACATTTATTCAAATAAGCTCTGTGTGGGGGAAGGCCTCAACATACAAATTTGGGTACCCGGTACACACATTCAACAGAGGTTAAACCCCCTCTCCCCCATTCAAATATTGATTTTTACAAAATCCCTACCAATATATATATTTCGTTGGAATTTCATAACATATGTAAAATCTGTGCTACAGAGAGATGTCTGTTTGGCTGTGTGGGATGACAAAATATTCAGCCAAGTTATGTCAGAGTGGGGCCTTTAAATCTGATGCCACATTAAAGAACCATTGCAACATTTCTATGACCTGTTGCATTGCAAAATTTATGCCAGTATCCAGCATACCCTCATTTTTCAGTGGTATTTAAAATTCCCACCCTTTAATCACTTGGCAGATTAGTGGTATTTTTTTTCTCATCCTGAATATGCATGAGTAATTGCCACTAGAGGTTATCCAAACAACAATCCATCAAACTATAAGTCATCTTTATACCCTATATGGATTGTCTATATCTTCAAACTTTTGAAATATTGAACATTATACAATTAGGGAACACAGTTACCACCAACATTTTATTTTGATATGTCTCATATTCTGTAACTTTTGTTGCAATTGAGACAAAAATTTAAGTTTCAACTGATGAGTTAAATAGTCAATGAAAAAAATAATATGGCAGCAAACATGAGTTAGAAATACTTCTTATATTTCTTTACCCATTCTGCTGTATGAGCTTACTTTACTTGTGATGGATTGACTATTGCCTGCTAAACTATATGCATGGTAATTAAATTCAAAATACCTTGATATCTGGTACAATACAATTTCAGCTCCTTGTGATCCCGGTCTTGGTTGATGTCTGAGTATTACAATATATAACTGGTTATATCTGAAAGTAGAAATAAATGTGTCCTTTTTCAAATCAAATCAGAAAAGGTTACAAAATAAAAAAAGCTATAAAATTTTACAAATTTAAATCCAATGCCTAAATATCTCAGATTTGATGAATGACAAGTTGTTCTGTCTTAAATTGTATAAATTAAAGCTTTCCCATTGCAAAGCTCTAGAGGATGTTTGATGAAGATACTGTTGCTCTTCTGTGAATGAAAGCTCTTATCCGACCTTGACCATTTACTTCTAAATTTGTGGAGTTTAACTAGTTTAGTCCCAGTTACTTACATGGTTGCCATAGAAACATCTCTTTCCATTAAATTTGGTTTTGTCTGTTTTGGAACAACTGGAAGATCAACTTCAAACTTCGGCAATTTAATCACAGATCCTGCCTGTAAATCAATACATGTAATTCTTTGTCAAATAGTTTGTAATTAATACAGACTGAATATTTGATACCAATAAAAATTCGTAAGGGTTCCGCGGAACCCAGTGTCTCGCCTACTTTTGGTGTTAATCGCAGGCTCAACAAAAATGAGGAAAAAAATTAATAAAAATATTCCCCTCTATACTATGTTTTGATTGTAAGTAGCTTCTGTCCAAGTTTGGTAAAAATCCAGGATAATTTATGAATCTAATAAATGTTTTAAAAACTTAAACTGCAGAATGTATGTAATGTTGACTGGAAGAAAAACTAAGTCCATTTATAAGTAAAATACGGAAAAAATGGAACAAAATTTTATCAAAATTTCCTTCTAGATACTAGCTTTTGATCATAAACAAGCTTCTGTCCAAGTGTGGTAGAAATCCAGGATAGTTTAAGAAAGTTATTAAAATTTTAAAAACTTTAACCACAGAGTGAATGTAATGTTTCCTGGCAGAAAAACTAAGTCCATTTATAAGTAAAATACGGAAAAATGGAATTTTTTTTTTACAAAATTTACTTCTGGATACTATCTTATGATCATAAACAAGCTTCTTTCCAAGTTTGGTATAAATCCAGGATAGTTTAAGAAAGTTATTAAAATTTCAAAAACTTTAACCACAGAGTGAATGTAATGTTTCCTGGCAGAAAAACTAAGTCCATTTATAAGTAAAATACGGAAAAATGGAATTTTTTTTTTACAAAATTTACTTCTGGATACTATCTTATGATCATAAACAAGCTTCTGTCCAAGTTTGGTAGAAATCCAGGATAGTTTAAGAAAGTTATTAAAATTTTAAAAACTTTAACCACAGAGTGAATGTAATGTTAACTGGCAGAAAAACTAAGTCCACTTATAAGTAAAATACGGAAAAAATGGAATTTTTTTTTTACAAAATTTACTTTTGAATATAATCTTATGATCATAAACAAGCTTCTGTCCAAGTTTGGTAGAAATCCAGGAAAGTTTAAGAAAGTTATTAAAATTTCAAAAACTTTAACCACAGAGTGAATATTTGTGGACGCCGCCGACGGAATGTAGGATCGCTATGTCTCGCTTTTTCGACAAAAGTCGAAGGCTCGACAAAAATGTATGGTCTTTATCAACATCAGAGATCACTTTCATATCAGTCATGAATAGAATTCTGTATAACACCTCTAGTAAATCACCAAAAAATATTACATGCAATGATACCCACATTGATCACAGCAGGTATATTTTCTTTGAGAAATATATGATAACAAGAGGTTTCTAAGAGCGTGAATCACTCATCTGATCATTTTTGCTGTTAACAGTTTCTACCTACATGTATCTATTATAGTTTTCTAGATAATAGGCAAAAACAATAGCTCTGGGTGAGCTAATATGATATCAGTGCTTTAATTTCACTCTTGGACTAATATTGATGATGAAATGTAAAAACTTCCATATGACATTCTATTTGTATCAAATGTATACTGTGGATAAGTTGTATTCAATATCTTGAAAAAAAAATTTCTACATGTCATTCAGTACTTTTACTCTTGGGTTTAATTATAACTTTAAATGGTAATATCAAATTAAATGCCTATTTTTGTTTCATTTGCTATTGCATCAATATTTTAAATATGGAATCAGGGATTTTCTACAATTCACAAAAAAAGATTACAACCAATGAATAAAAGCATACTTTTTAAACTTCTTATTCTGTATTTAAATGATTTGATTTTTGGTGTTTTAACGCCACTTTTAAGCACCGCTTTTGGGCTATTTCGTGGCGGCCAGTTTTTATTGGTGGAGGAAGCCGGAGTGCCCGGAGAAAACCACGACCTTCAATAGGAAAAACTGACAATCCAAGTCAATTAAGATTGGAGTCGAGTGCACCCGCACAAGCGGGGTTCAAACTCACAACCTCAGTGTTGACTGGCTAGTGATTACAGTAGTAACTACTTAAACCACTCAGCCACTGAGGCCCCTTGTGTATTTAAATGAAGTGTATGTCTCTAGCCACAGATTACAAAAAGATTAAAAATTCTTATTACATCAAATGTATTCTTTAGTCATAATTTCTTTCTTTAGCAGAGTTCTTGAAACTTTTAAAATATATTCAATGTACTTACTCGAAAATAAAAAGGATTCAAGGTGTTGCTTAGGTTACCTGAGGCAATCAACAGTAAATTGCTTTCAGCCTACAAGAACAAAAAAAGATGTATCTTAAAATGTGTACTTTATCAATGTTTATAGCATATGTTTTATTCATAATAAAGTTATCTTTTGTGCCAAATAAAATTATAAACTATTGTCTGACAGGTTGAAAGTGTTTCTGTAGTGAGAAATTTGAGCCTGTGATTGTATTATTTTATTTATTCTTTCATGACTTCTAAAATGTATTAACATGCTCTATATCTCACCAACAAAAAAAGTACAGAGCTTCTAATCATATAGACTTTGTGGATTTGTCCCTGTAACATGATTTCAGAATATTTTCTGTGCAGACACATTAAAATAAATTTTCTAAATAATTTCCTCGATTTGATAGGGGTTTGATGTTTTATCAACAAAATCATACAAATTCTTTACTTACCAGCCATTTATGCCATACAACACTAACATTTATAGTCTTTAAACACTTGAGTGTCCGTCTTTCAGGGGTAACCTGTAAGTTAAATTCAAAATTAAATATAAAAGACAAACATTTTGCCCTGATCACAAACCATCAACAACCTTGTAGTGTCCAAACTCAGATGAGTCAAGGTAATTTCTCGTTCCTGGTAAAATTTCTGTTTAATCAATGCATTTAAACCTCTGACGAGTCATACTCGGTTGATTTGAATTCTCGGTTAAGTTGAGTAAATTTTATTGTCCCATCAATATAATATTAATGTAGATTGACCATGATGTCTCAATGTTCAAAAGTAAGAAATTTCGAAAAAAAAAAAAATTGAAAAAGAAATTCAAATTCAAATCAGATGCTTTTCTTGTGAAACCTCATTATTTTCATAAGCAATTAAAGCTGTGTATACATATTTGTTTGTATAACAGTTAAAATGACATGTTTATTTTGATCGGTAATTAACACCTTTGTTGATCGTCGAAGCGGAACTTTAACATATTTCACGACAAAATTGAATTTAAATAACCCAAGCAGAAATTAAATGAATCCTTAGAATAAAAATTCATTAATTGCAATAATTAAAAGGATTTAGACAACTACCATAAATTTGCAATAATTGAATGCAAAGTGAACGACCCTCATCAGTGATCTTTCATGACTTGTTTCGTTCTGTGAGTGATTCCATAATTCATATTGACCTGACCTTTGTAAATATTTCAGTATTAATTTTATTTGTGAATGTTTTGTATCTATACTTGTGTGTTAAGTTTCTATGATGGACCAAAAAATATGGAGCTTGAGTACACAATCATAAATTGTCATATAGAAAACTATAAAGAGCCTGTGTCATTCACATGCATCTTCAACAATGGCTACTTTTTTGTAAAAATCATCATGAAAGGGCAATAACAACAATAAGGAGTCGACTAACGATTTCCATCATTTTGACTTATTTGCAGATCTTGTCCTGCGAATCATTCTTCTTTTTAAAGTTTCTATCTACAGAATCTATTATAGTTTTTTATGATATTAAGCCAAAACGCAACAAACTGGTAAAAATCGTCATTAAAGGGCGAAAACTCCAATAAGCAGTTGTCTGACTATTTCAGCGATGTTAACTTATTTGTAGATCTTGTATTGCTAATCATTTGTCTTGATAATAGTTTCAAAATAATCGACAAAAATGAAAACAGTGGTTTTCAAGATACAGTGTAATAGACAAAACTTGCAGTTTACCCGTATCTTCTATATTTAGCCATGTCCGCCTTCTTAGTTGGCAGGCTGAAACATCAGACACATTTTTTTAAATTAGATACCCCAATAATCGTGGCCAAGTTTGATTAAATTTGGCCCTGTAGTTTCAGAGGAGAAGATTTTTGTAAAAGTTAACGACGATAGACAACAGATGACAACTATGGACGCCAAGTGATGAGAAAACCTTACTTGCCCTTTCAGCCAGGTGAGTTAAAAAGCACTGTTCAAAATATCTAGTATACACAAATCACTTTTTCTCAGTATTTCATGCATTCAAAATTTATATCAACACACTCGACCTCAGATAAGTTGAACCTCGGATAAGGCGAATACTTTCGTCAAGTCCCTTCAACTTTGACTTAAAGAGGTTCTACTGTATGTATATCTAATTGAATATTTATAGGTAATTTTGATATATGAACAAACTTTTATTTCTGCAATATGCAATTTTTGGTAGAAAGCTAATAAACTAGCAAATATCTGTCTCCATCTCAAGGTACACATATAGCAAGAACTGTAATCAGAGATACTGGTAATGATTTTCTTTTAAAGTTAATAGAGAATAATTATACACATGGCGAATAAAAGGAGATGTGGTTGTACATAATGAGACAGCAAACTGACAACAAAAAACAAACCAAAAGACATCTGGAGTTCAACATAGCCTTCAGCAAAACACAGGTGTTTATTGGCCTTTTGGCCAGTTGAGCTACAAATGGTATACTATTTTATGTATTCTCTATAGCAGTAGCTATTTTCACCAAAACTTATGAGAAAAATCTGTTGAAAGTCCTGTACAATTCAGTATTATTACCACCATTTTTTGCCAAAAGATTTTTATTTTGTGAACTTTGGACCTTCAGCCTCTCTGAAGAAATATCAAATGCAACAGGAACAAGTTTATTTGTATCTTTGCTTTATTTACCTGGTAAAATTCTATTCCGTGATCTGTTATAAAGCATATTTCATTAATTGCTGTCCACACAAATCCATTAATAATTGTAGACCTGCCCTACAAAATAGAACACATAGATACTGTAGACCTACCCTACAAAATGGAACACATACATACTGTAGAAATAATTTATGGAAGTTCATTACAATATGCTGTTTTTCTTTTGTCTGTGATAGAAAAAACTTAATTAATTTAATAAAGATTGTAAATAACCACCTTTTTATAATTTTACTGCTATTTAAGATAAAATTTTCAAACAATATAAAGCCTACCATTGGTAAAATCAACAATAAATCACAGTCTTACATGAATCATTTTTTAAAATTCTCATCAGTTAAACCTTACATAAAAAATTTTTTTATAAAAAGGAGACATCAGTGTAAGTACATTTGTAATTATTTCAAATTCACAAATGTCAAGATTCAAAAACATACCACTTGGGAGTCATAAAACTGAAAATAGTTTACTTTCCATCTTTAAGTATCACATGATGATAAATATCTAAACTTTATGAAATACATCTTAGCTTTGTTTTTCAAATGGCAGAGATTGTATTCACCAAATCAAATAGTATGATGGGTTATGGGAAAGTCAATGTTATGAAATTTGCTGAATGTTCAAGACATTATTGTAGATACTTATAGTGCGCAAATCAATTTACCAAGACAGAAGCTGACTTAATTTCTGAATTGGTTCATTCCATTTTTTTTATTTTAGACTTATCTTCATGTAAAACGATAATAAAGACAACAATACCCATCAATTACCCCATGGTAAGAGTTTAATCTGGTCGACATGTTTCGCCATCAAGCGTGGCGTCTTCAGGACAATATTACATATGAAATCAAACAGTGAAGTACAAATTTGGTGGTTCATGCGGTTCGCCGGAAGTAATGTTACAATAATGGTTGTTATCTTCATCTAGTATGAGATTCTACATGTTTCTATTTTTTTTATTTTTCATAGAACGTGCATTCATATACTCCATGAAATAATTCTTCAACACTTTTCTTGTGTTAAAAACCTATAATACTTATCCCATATAAACCGTTTAAATTCTACAGAAGTTTTCACATTATATTTAGTGGTCACAGAAAAATGCAAATTCAATAGGAAATGTTGTGCAAAGTAAAAATCCCGCATAAAATCACAGCTGTTCATGCACATGCATGTAATTCAAATATGAGTTATTGTTTAGGAAATTGATAAATTAAAGCTGTTAGTAATGTTGTCATATTTTTTATTTTTAGTAAACAGTCTCCTTGGCCATCTAACAAAGTCCCACTGACAATTCAATGATAGTATATGCTTTCACATGACAAGAAATTTCTCTGTGGAAATTTTAAATAATTGAGTAATCAAGTCAAAAGTCACTTACAAATTCATAAACCTGTAATACAAACACACTTAAATATAAGCACCCTTAAAGAAGATTTTTACTTTATTGGGTGAAAATGAATGTGTAGTTAAAAGTAGAATTCTTTGATGAAAAGTGGTACATGTATCCAGTACAACATGTATATGTAATTGAAGGGATGCCAACATAGGACATTCTAAAATCCCTTTCCCCATGTTTTGATATCACGTTTTTTGTTAACAACTGTATGATTAATACTCAATTTTATAAATTTTTATTTAAAATCTTTGTGAGGAACGTTTTAGAAGTTGTCTGAAACACCAACTCTGCACTAAATGGGTAGAATCATTATTCAAGAGCAATGACTCCTATAAGGAGTCCATTGAAGATTTGGGCCATGTTGTCTTATTTGTAGATAATGTAGATCCTGCAGATCATAACCCTTTTTTTACAGCCTCTCTTCATATATAATAGTTATTTAAGATAAAGCCAAAATCAAATATTTTTTTTAACTCCAATTAGGAGTCATCAGACAATTTTTGCTTACAACGGACTATAGATAGTTCAACTTTATTGCCTCCGCCAGATTTTCTCTACCAATATTGATTTTCAGATAATAGAGAATACCCCTTTGAAATTTTTTCTTTAGACTTGGCAGTTGTGCTGGTTAGCAGGCAAGAGTTCAGATAACTATTTTCAAGATAATAGAGAATACTTGCATTTTACTCCCTTTGTTCTGTTTTTAAGTCTTGGCAGCCATGCTGGTTGGCAGGTTAGATTATCAGTCACATTTTTAAACTGGACTGTTGGTTCCTATTTGCCCAGTAGTTTCAGAGGTGAAGATTTTTGTAAAAGTTAAAGGAAGGCTGACATCAAGTAATGAGAATAGCTCACACTGGCCCTTTGGACCTAATGAGCTTAAAAGTAAGCAATGTTTTGGAAAAAGTTTACCGACTGTGCGAGACCTTCATGGGTAGTAAAAGGTTGTTAAACACCACCCGTACAAAAAGTTTACATGGACTGAGAAGAGAAAAATGTTTACTAAAGTTTTACTTCTTTTTGTAAAAACAGTAATAGGTAATTCCAAATACACAATGTATTTAGTAATTGAACTTTATTAAACACAATGCCCATCTAATTCTTGATGTTAAGATGTTAAGTTCAGGCTAATTTCACTTCAAAAGTGTACAAAAATATGGAATACTGTGACTCAAAGGGTTATTCACATATACATGCCACTGACAAAGTAGGGGGAGGTGGTAAACTAATCCTTTTGTAGCACCAGCTCTTATATTTCATAACTACAAAAGGAATATTTTAATAGTTAAGAAATATGGTACCTTCTATTCACAATCTGCTTTGGAACCAGGCTTTACGAATCATTACTTAATACTTTCCCCCTAACCCCCCAAAAAAATAATAATTAGGATATCCCTATCTTCCACCAATGTATTTCTGTATATTGAACTTTTAGGGTACAGCCACCAGTACTTCTAGAGTGTGCAACAAAAGTGAGTAATAATGTCGTTATATTGTGTACAGGAAAACAGTTAGGCCAGCTTTAACAGCTTACAGCTTACCTTACATGTCTGTGAGTATTCTAACTGATCTGTTGTTCCATCAGGTGAAAAATTTATAAATTCCTGAAAGTAGTATTTTAAAGTATCACATATTTTACTGTTTAAATTGTGGACATAAAACAAGAGTTAACACACTAACTGTCTTGCCAGCTTTAATATTTGAATTATTCTATAGGACAACGAACTCTCAATCTGAGGCCAATTTCAATTGCAACTCGTGTGGTACACATATTTATGTAATGAAATCCCATACAAAGTATTTTCAACCCATCATGTATAACTGTACAACATGAGACAGCCCACCAAAGGATGAACATGATTTCAAAGCCATATGATTATTATTATATAATACGTATCAGAAGTATTTTGCCAACAGGCATACCAAACAATGTGGTCAATAATGTATAGTTAGTAGGGAACAGATCCAATCCTATAATTTAACTACTGGAGCACAAAATTGAGGTCAAGGCCATATGATATATTTATGACAAACCAACCAACATACCAACTTTTGCTGATCCAATGGTATCATATAGTTACTGGGCAACAGTCCTTATGCTGAAAACTATATCTGACCATGGAAACATGAAAATTAGGAGAAGGCCATATGCCACATGAGTTAGGACTACTTTTATTCCTCACAACCTGCCCACATACCAAATAACCAACATCCCCATTTCCCCATACATTTCAATTTTAAGAAGGGAATGCAGACCAATCTGAAACCTTTATTTTTGTCACTGAATATACATAGGTACAAATGTAGATCTTTGTCACTGTATATACATGATATACATAGGTACAAAAAAACTACAAATGTAGAGATTCTATTAATTTAAAATTTTCTATTTAAAAGAAATTATTTCTACCATGTCAATTTTTATGCATTCCCATATCCCACCATGTTTTCATTATCTCGCTTGAAGAAATTGACATTTGGTACGGGTCTATGGGAAGGCATATCAGTATGTTCTATATTATACAAGTACATAATATATTATTCATCATACTGCTCTAGCACAAATGATAGAAAGGAAACAATCAATAGTACATTGTACTTACAACTGATTTCTGTGATCTTTGTACACCTAGAATTCTTTTGTCCGCAGAAAATTTTATAGATAAAACATCTCCTCTGCTTTCCATTCTGTGAAAACAGGATTATCTTTCATATTGTTAAAACAGGAGTAAACATATAATATGGTTTTTCTGTTACAAATTTATTTCGTCTCCAATATTATCTAGAAGTGCATATTTATTCTCTGTAAAAAATGAGACATTATCCAGTGAAAATGGATGTTATCCACTAATACATGAATGCTACATTTTATGTACAATGCAATGCTTATACAAGTAGCCATCTATTCATATGGTCCAAGGACACAGTTATCGTCCTTTGGTTTTCGTTGTCTACGAATATAGTCCCTAGTGTGAACAGTGTATAACTTGCATTTTTTTTTGATACACTCTCCCAATTTATTTCTTGATATTTTATGCATGAAATATTAAGTAAGGGGATGAAATTGCACGTTAAAAAAATTTGGGTGCTGAATCTTTATGTTAAGTAGTGATTTGGTCTAGTTAAAAAAGGTCAAAAATTAGAATGTCTGAAGCTGTCAAACTGAATTTTAGCCCCTCTTAACACAGAATTGTCAATATTTTGAGTTAGAGCTGGTAGAAGTTTCTATAATTTTGATATTATTTGTATCAATAGTAGTACACAACACTGTAAAAATCTTTTTGAGATAGAGCAGGTGCGATTTTTTTAATTTGAATTTATTGTCTAAAAGAAATGCACTACGAAATAACTGTGTTCTCGGGCCATATGGTTACATATAATTGTACAATAAAACAACAAATGAGTTTTCTGTATTGAGGAGGTTACCAATATTGAATTAAAAATGCTCAAACACTCTGCTTGTTAAAAACAAGAATAAAATATAAGTGACTGTGAAGATTAAAAAATAGAAATTAAAGCACTGATATTCTGATCATATTATACCCCAATTTGTATGATATAGTTTGTTTTATGTACATTTACCCCATATCATTTTTACTTTAGTGACTACAGTATCAGACAATAATTTTACACAGTACAATATATAATCATGATAATATTTGCAAATTAAATTAAAATCAAGATTAGAAATTTTTTCAAATATAATGTACAACCTGAATGTAAGAGAGTTGCTATCTTTTGGTCCTTTAACCACCACTCCCATAGCTCCACAGGAACGTACTGCAAATACCTACAAGATACATTTAACAGTCAATAAAAATGTAATTATGCACAGCACAGGCTAAATTCATAGGTTCTTTTGCCTTTGATCAGTAAATGTTTTGCACGTAAACAAATGAAGAGTAATCTCTTCCAAGAAGATCATTTAACCCTGCATTCAACTTTATCTAGCTTTCCAAATTACATGGTGTTTTTTTAATTTCCCTGTTGAAGTGAGTGGTCATCTTGTTTGCATCTGTAATGTGCACTTTTTTTGTGTGATTTAGTTTTACAACATATGGTCTAGATTCTACATAGACAAAGGGGTGGATTGTTTGCATGTAAAACTGCTTTAACCCTACCACATTTGACACATTGTGCCTGTACCAAGTTAGGCTATATCTGGATCATGTGTTGTTTGTTTTGTTGTTGTTGTTTTGTCTTTGTTTGGAAGTCTGCTTTTTCTGAGGAGTTAAAGTTAGATGATGGTGGTTGTTCTGTTGTTACATTGTATGTCTAATGTCTTCAGGATTCCTGTTATCCTTTTCACATATTATTTTTTTTGACATAAATCAGAGGTTATTCAAATGTCACATTCATTTTTGTTTCCGCTGTTTTAGTAAAATATTCATGTTATTCACTGATATCCTCTGTTGTTAAAAATATCCATTGGCACAGACAACATTATAAAACATAATGAATAACTAAAGTAATTTTATCTATAAAACAGTCCCATACTTAGTTCATGTACAAATAAAAAGATTGATTGTTGTTTGCTTTAGTCCAGTGGCAAATATTTCGTGCATGTTCAGGATAAGAATAAATCAACAGTCAATATGGTAGGTTCTATAAAGTAGGAGTGAACAGTTGAGTTACAAATGTAGTCCTCCAGGAAAGTAAGCTTACTATCGTTACAATTTTTGGAGAAAAAAATAATTTGTTTAAAGTTTTCGATACATGATTTTTATACTTTTATTTTTCCCCCAAATTGCAACAAATGTAAGCTTGATTTTACTTCTTTTAGTTGCTCTTACCTGAACCAGTACCAGAATGCATATATCTTGTCACAGGGTATGTATGTAAGATGTTGAAAAATTATATACTCCAGAGTAAAAAGTCGGTAACATGAAAAAGTCTATTAACAAATTGAATATGAAATCTATATTGTTAATACTGCAAAATAACTCCTAGTTAAGGAAAAACAATTAGTTACTTTCCTGGAGGACTGCATTTGTACCTCTACTTTGTGTGATTTTTTTTGGGGGAAAAGAAAAACTTTTCATAAGTATACCCCACAATATGGCACATACCTTTTTTTTAAACTTATATTAGAAGTCTGTAGATGGCCTGTTGCAAGGAAAAATTTCTATCCCTATCCAACATCCCTCATCTTCCAGAGGCAGTCAAAATTTCCCTCCGTTCACCTGACCTTTGAAGAACCTACCATATTAACTGTTAATTTGTTCTCATCCTTCTACTTTGTAGTGACCGCCTTCAACACGTTGAAGTTTATGTCACTTTTTACTACGCATGGCTTAGTGGAGACGTATATACATTGGAAATTTAACAATTTTATAATTATTATAGGATTAAACGACTTTTTAAAGGAATTTATTGGTGTATAAACTTGACCAATTCACTCATAAACAAATAAAAGTCCAAAGGACTTTTATGATATGTTTGTGAGTGACTTGGTCCAGTTTATACACCAATAAATTCCTTTAAAAATGCGTTTAATCCTTATTATTCTTTAAATATGGAAATAAGGAATTTGATTTCCACTCGTATCCTCTATCACGTGTAAATTGTAAATTTGTGGCATTGAATTGACCTGGCGCATGAATATATTATTTGGTTAACGCAAAAAAAAATATACTCCATGAATTTTGCTATCTGAAAAAATAAACTAAAAAAATAACTTATTTTCTTTCAAATAAATGTTTTGTGTTTATAATTTAATTTGACGATGAAAGCAAAGTGAAAATAAATATTTCTAACGTCGAGCCGCTTTTTTTATATTACCGCCGCCATGACTTGTTTACATTGGTTACAAAAAGTAGTTCTGTCAACGTCGTCTATCGAAAAATAAACAACGTCAAGATCCACTACCGGAAGCCCTCTCGACCAATCATATTAATGTATTCCCTAATATGGAAATCATATAAGAATTATTAACAAAATTAATTCTAACATTTTTACATAGTGCACATTTTTATTTTATTTATTTTTTAATATTTAATAAGATAAAACTATTTACACATGATAAAATTACTGAACATGCAGGGATCTCCATGGATGAAAATTTAACGATGGAGGAACTTTTACCATGACAAAACCCCACGTCTACAGCTTGGCGTGATCGAAAGTATTTCATTCCTCAATTTCCATTGAAGGAATGGTGAACAATGGTGAACAGACTGATATATTGCTTATTATGTTTATTTCATTATAGAATAACAAATATAATAAATTTTTTCATTAATTGCCATTTGTAACAATTCCAATGCCAAGCCTGCATGTCTTATCCTTAGTCAAGATTGACCACAAGCTGTTCTTGAGGTGCCTAAGTCGTTTTCTAGCTATTTTGGTAATTATTTAGGACTTTAAAATCTGGGGATCCTTTTTTCACTGTCAAATTCAGAAGTCATGAACTGATATCTACGATTTGCAGCATCAGCATCAACAACAAGTTTAGTACCCGTTTTTTAAAACGTTGAAGAAAGATTTGGAGGGCAAATGTTTCAACTTAAAAGATTTTAATGACTTTAAATTGTAAATTTCATAGTAATATACTATGCAACATGCATCTTTTGATTCTGAATTCAAACTGGATGTATCAATTTTATTGTAAATGACGAAGTGAATTCGGAATAACGTTACGAAATAACTTCAGATTGTCAAGTTGCAGTTAATCAGTTGATATTCATGTACATGTATTTATTTTTAAACTTGTAAAGTGATTCAATATTATCGATAATTGCTATACTCAAGTTGTTTGGCATGAAATTATGTACTGTTTTACGTCTTATTTTGTACTTTTTAAAAAAGGGGACGCTGATTGCGTAAGTCAATATAAAAGCATGTGTTCGACTTGTTTAACTTTTTTCTATGTAACATTTAATATTTATTTTTTAATCTAAATTTTCATTAGCATAAAAAAAAAATTTGTTGAAAGGTAATTAAATAATGCAATCAATCGTCTATCTTGATCAAGTGATCTCCTGTCAAGTGTGTCGATCTACCTGTACAAGTGATTTATAGCGATCTTCTGCCGGATATCCCTCAGGGCTTTAAGACCATTTGGATTATAATATAATAAGCCTAAGGGATATGCAATTACATGCAATGCATTGATTATAATTGCTAACAAAAATGGCAGCGACTAGCGAGACGAAAACAAATTTTGGCAATGGCGGGGATCATTTGACGATGGCAGAAGATAATTTAAGATGGCGGGTATCATTTGACGATGGTGGAAGATATTTTAATGATGGCGGTGCGCCATCATAAAACAGGTCATGGAGATCCCTGAACATGCATGAAATATTTGCTACTGGACTAAAGCAAACAACAATCAATCAATCTTTTTATTTAGAAGAAGACACAGTTTTCAATGACAAAGGATAGACAAGACAGTCATTGGTTGAAACGGGAAACAACACTGAAAATAAAATAGCACAAGCCACTGTCAACGTATATTTGTTCCGCCTAACAGAAGTTCCCCTGGAACAATGTCATAATATCTGTTCCTGTTGGAACAAATATTCTATACCATTTATTCCGTTAGGAACATTTACTGTAATATTTATTCCAGTGGAAATAATATTCCAGAATATTGTTTCCATTTGGAACTTATATTATGAAGGAACTTCTATTCCGTGACACCACAAGGTACAAAATCGTCTTGTAAGCTATGACAAAATGAAGTGTCCATACTTCCAAGACAATATTCTAGCTGTACATTCACCTGTCTGTTAGCGTCATCATAGAATACATTTGTAACTTTATCAACTGGGTCGAAACGTATAGGGTTTTTACAAAGTTCGATGTAAAAACACCCATCATTTTGTTGTGCCATTTTTTACTCCTCTTATGTTTACACTATAATAACCAAAAGCCAAGAAAGATTCCGAAAGTCTATTACCGGTGCGTTCGAACAGACATCTCTATGCTTTATTTTCAAAAGTAAACAATTCAAAGTAATATTGATTTAAGGGACAACCATTTGATTTTAGGGGAGGAGAATATTAAAATGAATATCCTTGCCAGGAAAGAGCTGAAAATAAATAACACTGCATTAGACCAGATGAAAATGAATATTCTGCAACACAATATGGACCAATATGCAAGAATCAATCTTGTATTATAAAAAGCAAAAAAATTTTCACACAGAAAAGCTGTAGAAAAAAATAAGCATGCGTAGCAACAGATGAAAATGAATAGTCAATCAGAAAAAAATAAGGCCTGCTCCCCCCTTTCCCCAGTATCTCAAATGGTCTTCCCCTTAGTATGGTGGATGCAATATATATATGGAACTCTTGCCTTTATTTCGTTTTTACTAAATACAGATGTTAAACCTATACCTTTTGAGCAGGGAAGGAAGGTTTAGGTTTTTGTCCACTGACCAAGAATAAAAAAGGGGGAAGGTTATGCTGTAACAAAATAAAATTGTGATCCTGGCAATTATTCATGTGGGTGTGTCAAGTCAGGAACCTTCTCATTGGTTGTCTGATGTCATATTTTGATATTTTTTGTTAGAATGGAGAATATTGTGTTGATGGATGGATAGTTCAGTGGCAAATTAAAAGCATAATTCAGGGAGAGAAAACTAGAGGCTCTCAAGAGCCTGTGTCGCTCACCTGTATTTACTGATGCTTTGGAAATCATGTAAAATAAGATTAAAATCATAACTAATAGTATTAGATATTAGATATTATAATGATATCTAAGATAATAACAAAAACTGCAAAATTTCTGTAAAATTACTAACTCGGGGACAGCAACCCAACAACGGGTTGTCGGATATGTCTGAAAATTTCAGGGCAGATAAATCTAAATCTGATGAACATTTTTGCCACCGTCAGATTTGCTCTAAATGCTTTAATTTCAGAGATATAAACCAAAAACTGCATTTTACCCCTATGTTCTATTTTTAACCAAGTCAGCCATGATGGTTGGAAGGCGGGGTCATCGGACAAATTTTTTAAACTAGATACCCTAATAATGATTATGGCCAAGTATGGTTAAATTTGTCTCAGTAGTTTAAGAGCAGAAGATTTTTGTAAAAGATTACAAAAATTAACGAAAAATTGTTAAAAATTAACTATAAAGGGCAATAACTCCTAAAGGGGTCACCTGACCATTTTGGTCATGACAACTTATTTGTAGATCTTACTTTGCTGAACATTATTGCTGTTTACAGTTTATCTCTATCTATAATAATATTCAAGATAATAACCAAAAACTGCAAAATTTCCTTAAAATTACCAATTCAGGGGCAGCAACCCAACAACAGGTTGTCTGATTTGTCTGAAAATTTCAGGGCAAATAGATCTTGACCTGATAATCAGTTTTACCCCCATGTCAGATTTACTCTAAATGCTTTGGTTTCAGAGATATAAGCCAAAATCTACATTTTACCCCTATGTTCTATTTTTAGCCATGGTGGCCATCTTGGTTGGTAGGCGGGGTCATCGGACAAATTTTTTAAAATAGATACCCTAATGATGATTGTGGCCAAGTTTGAATAAATTTGGTGCAGTGGTTTCAGAGAAGATTTTTGTAAAAGCTAACGACGACGGAAGACGACAACGACGAAGGACGACGGACGCCAAGTGATGAGAAAAGCTCACTTGGCCCTTCGGGCCAGGTGAGCTAATAATAAACTTATATGAATATAAACTAGACTTTGCACTAGAATGACACACTCAAGGCAATAATAATCTGCAGAAAGACATGTCGCCCTGCTCAGACATACTATTCTGCCTCTGAGCCAACCAGACCTTTGGAAGTTACAAGAAAAGTGTCCTCTATCATTTTCATTTTTTATTTGCAATTAAAATAAACTGTTGACACAGAGATTTGTCTTGCCTGTCTGCATAAAATTCAGAAAGAGACAATCTGATGGACAGCAACATTTCTAATTAATTCATTTAAGTTGCTGGATCAACTAGTGGGTAGGGCCTCGAAATGGTTGACAAACTGAGATGTACAAACAGCAATGTAACTTTATAGAAAATATAGTCTATTGTAAGTAGTTCCTATCAAACTAACTTAATCATAAAACTTACATTGAAAATTGTTCATTAATTGAATGTCAATGGACCATGACCTAGGGGGCAGGGCCTTAAAATAGTTGTCAAACTGATATGTACTGATAGTAATGCAACTTTATAGAAAATATCATTGATCTATCGTAAGTAGTTCATATCAAACTAACTTAAGTAGAAAACTTATCATTAAAAGTCACTGGACCATGGCCTAGGGGGCAAGGCTTCAAAATAGTCGTCAAACTGATATGTACTGATAGTAATGAAACTTCCTACAAAATATCAATGATCTATCAAAAGTACTTCCTATCAAACTAACTTAAGCAGAAAACTTAACATTGAAAATGACTAATTAAATCAAAGTCACTGGACCATGGCCTAAAAATTGTCATCAAATTGATATGTACTGATAGTAATGCATCTTCATACAAAATATCAATGATCTATCACAAGTAGTTCCTATCAAACTAACTTTAGCAGTAAACTTAACAATTGTTGATGCCGTCATCGCAGTCGTTGCCAGAAAAGCAATCCCTATGTCTCACTTTCCGCGACAAAAATGGCCAAAAAGTTAGGGGGAGGGGCAATTGCTTTGGTCTCTCTTAATATATTCACAACTTTTATTTACTCTGGATGACTAAGAGCTTGTCAGATTGTACTGAAGCTTGTCTATTGTTTAAGAAAGTATGTTGCAACCTCCAAGAACTTGAAAGATTGTTTTCGATTCTGTCAGCTAATTATCTTAACCGCCATTTTCTCAATCTCAGTACATGTTCATGTTTACCAAGCAAATATGAAATGGTATTCTCCTTTCTACTCTGCACATTATCTTCAGATTTTTCCAACAGATTACATAGCATAATGTAGATCTGTAGGTAATAAATTTTGTTCCATCATTTGGTAGATTAGTGGCAGAGATGCCTACACATTTAATGATTTATAGATCACTAACCATTTCATTTCTGGTAAAACAGCATCAGACATTTTTGTTTTCCATGGGAAACGGGTTTGTTTTTCTAAATAAAATGTTCTTTATATAGCCTTTCGGTGATTTTTATAAGTGAGAAACACAACTTTTCTTCAAATCTTTACATAATTACACTGCCAAACTCAAAATCTGAACAGGTGGCCACAAATTCAGCTGTTAATTTTTGTATATACTAATCAAGTTTTAGTTTTTCTTCTCTTCACCTTCTTCTCCATTAGAATTAATTGTCTCTGTTGAGGCTGTGCTTGAAGCAATAAAACCTTATTTTTATTACATTGTATAAGCATTCCTTTTAAACAATTTCATTGCAGATGTATTTTGTCATACCTGAAGCTCAACAACCTATGCATGTATTGACTAACTGAGCAAGTATATTTCTTATACTGTTGTATTCTTATACTGTTGATTCATTAATTATCTTTGATATCAATTTTTCTGGTTAAGAACAAAACAAGGGTACCTAATTCACATGGTGTTTTCATTTACTTCTATCAATGTATCTAAAAACTTGTATAATTATCAGCATGCATCAAAATTTGAAGATTACCCCTTGACACAAAAAAAATGTATCCGACAAATATTAACGAATCAACAACATTTACCTTTGTCACACAGTGGCAGCTAGTAAGAACTTAATTACTGTAAACCAACTAATTTTCGCGAGTAGAAAATAACGCGAATATAAATCGTCGCGAATATGTAAAACTTGGATTTTTCCATATTTAACTACATCAAGTAAATTTGAGAATCGCAAAATTAAATCACCGTGAAATGGACTAGAAAGGGCTAATCGCGAAATAAAGTATCCGCGAAAAATAAGTTGGTTTACAGTATTATTCGTAAACTAAAAGTGTTAAGGACAGATGACATATGCATCAAGGCTTTAAAAAAAGACATAATAAATTTATTTGTTTATTGATCTATCGCTATATTTATAATACAATCTTATTGTACATTACCAACAATATAGAATAAGTTTAAACTGCATCATAAGAAAAAAACAAGAGGTTTTTTAACATTTATTTGTGTCCTGGCATTTTTCAATATCACAAGGACCATAACTCCTGAACGGTAAAAGTGACAATCATCACCCGCCCGCCTGCTGTACATCCCCAAATCAATAACCGATTTTTCCTGCAGAAATCCGGTTAAAATCTAATGATAAAAAATCAAAATAACTGGACAAAAGCCTAGAAATAAAAACAAGTGAAAAATCTTGAATAAACTAAATATATTTTGTCTGGATATTATAATCTTTCACTGGAATGAGACAATGTTTTACATGCATATTGTAATGCCAAAAAAATTGAGCAATCAGTTGTTTTGTTTTAATGATTCACAAGCTGAAAATAAACATTGCCAACTTTGAAAATTTAGAGGGACAGAACTTTGTAGGCTAGCAGTTTATAAAGCAGTGAAATATAAATCTTTTAGCACTTTAATAAATATGTGTGAATTTTTTAGGAAGATATGTTGCCTGGCATTTTTAAAATAATATAAGCAGAAATGGTGAAGTCCATGTTTTGGTATGGGAAGCCCCAAAAATCACTCAGATCAGTAATTACAATAGCAGGTCCACAACTTGATATCTGTAGAAGAATCTGTGCTTGGTTGAATTCAGTCATGCTTTGCAAGGAGTGACAAAGTGACAAGGACAATGATGCAAGACAACATAAGTTATCCCTATGTATCGCTGCAGCTGGATGCAGTAAGACTAACAATAAATCTGAATATTGAATGCAGTGAATATAAACATAATATGGTCAAACTGTCTTAAAATACATCATTTACATGTATATCATTTTCAAAGTGTAACTAAATAAATACTACAATTTCCAATATTGCACATGTTTCCTCATTTTCAGCACACATTTTATTTACATTAAAATCTTTACAAATAAATGCACAGTTAAGAAAAATAATCATTTTTGTCTGGAATGTTTACATGTAATGCGAATATTCCAAAGCCTTTATCTGTAAAAAAAAACAAAAAAAAACAGTGTTTAATTCCACAGCATTCTTAACTCACCATTGGATATTTCAAATGAAAATGTACATTAACTGGGGTTATACCTAGAATAATGACCAAATATCAACATCAAACTTAATCAATTGGCATGTCTGTCAGAAAAATTAGCAAAATTTACATTAAAAAATAATTCATTAATAGCAGAATTTTAAAAGGTTTTCATGTGCAAATAGGCTTCTTTTCTAAAGTTTGATGGAACCATTCAAATTCCTTGTTTCATATCCACCAAAAGGTGAATGATGAAGAATACAATTCAAATCAAACATTATAAATGATAATTATTTTCATCAATAAGTACAATGGAAAAGTACAATATGGAATGCACTTTGAGCTGTTAATTCATGAAAAAATTTAAACTATAATACTCTACCAACTCCAGGATATTGTTAATAGTGAATACCATTGGGCAAAAGAAAACATATCCAACAATTATCTGCCTATAATTCAAGAAGGTTGTTAATATACATTTTTCATAATAAAAACATGTTTCAGTGAAGGGCCTTCTAATAAATTAATTTTACTTTGGTAACCTTTGATACACTATACTAAAAAAAAATTCTGTTCTGTGAAAGACATGTTTTCCATTAGTGAAATAATTTGTTTAAACACATGTTGCACATTTTGTCAATAAAAGGAATAAGTCAGGTATATTTTTAGAAATGTTTTCCTTATTATACAACTAATTGAAAAGCACCCTCAAAATAGTCAGCCAACCATAAATTCTTTATTTAGTAGTTTTTTAGGGGGAACAAGTAATCACCTTTGTATCTAGTCATAGTAGAATTCCAACTTTTTCTCCCAATTTAAATTTGAAAATTTACTACTGAGTAAATCATATATAGGATGTTCCAGCATTAAATGCATGGGGGGGCACCCAACCACCCATAATATATAAGTGTCCTCTTACTAATTCTTATAAAATTCTAAAGAAAATGCAACCACTCACAAATAAGTTAAGAGCCTCCCATCCCCCCCACCACATCAATTTTGGAACAGCCCTAAAGAAAAACATGTTTATTTGATATGTTTTTTTTCTTCTTCAAAATATCTATGTTTTATACATCTATGACAGGTGATATCACAGTATGACATTTATTGTTCTTTTTATCCATCAATGTATTTTCCAGTAAAATTCTTATGGAAATCTACTTTTTCTTAAATTAGGAAAAAAATAGGAAAAAAATCTTTTTTCCTCATATTAAATATTTGAAAAAAATTAATGCCACTCAATGCTTAATATTTCAAATAAAATTACAAGTGTTTTAATAATACATCTATTTTTCCATTACAATCTCTTAATAAAAGTATTTTGATTCTGAACCACCAAAAAAACAATATTTTCATCTTTTAGTAAATAGCACCATATTGTTCTGTCTTTTGGAACTTGAATGGTCCGATTCAGCTTCACAATAACTACACCAGTGTTTGTACTCTGACTGTAGGACATGAGACACTTTTTTATTACATGTGACTAGCATGTTAGTAAGATTTCCATAATGAACAGCACAACAGTGATATATCATGATCCTTCTACAGGGATATTTGTTTTCTGTAAAATAGTCATCAGCTGATCATTTATCAACTTGGCAATTGATTCTTCATCATTCTGAAAAACACAAAAAATTCTCTTTAATTCATACTTCACTTCCAAAACAGATGTAGATAGTTGGTGAGCCTTTATAAATATGTTTAAAATTTATATTTAATGATCATTTTAATCAATAGTCTACTTGCCAATTCCCTTAATTGACCCTGTAATTAGAAATCCATTTTTTAGTTGTTTACCTTAGTAGGGACATTAATTTTTATTGATAATGGAGAGCTAGCGAAAAGAGCAAATTTATTTGTGCATAATGTGTGCAACCTTTAAGTTTTTCAAATCTTTTAATTACATTTAATTTTTTGTTACGCTAAAAACTTTTGATATCAGTAGTTATTTTTCATTTTTTTTAAAACACCATTACCTAGTACATCACTTTCAACTTATCATGCTTTGCCTGGGCAGAAGCCAATTTTGTCCAGTATAGAACTAGTCTATGATTGACAAAAGTAAGCAATGTGTGTTATGAGTGTGATAGAATTGGCAAATGGAAGATTGATATATAAATATTAAAAAAATTAATAAAGATGTTCATATTTTGGTTGATGTAACTTTGACAAACTTTCAGTTGAGTAGTATGAAGTATGTAGTAATCTTTGTCACGAGTTGTGATCAAAATTATTACATTAAATTCCCCTATGGGGATCTTGATTGGTTTAGATGTCTGCAGTAAAAAAGTCTAGAGATTAAAAAGGATGATGGAATAAATGGAGAATGTGTCCATGGGACACATATGATGCCCCCGCTTGTAAACATTACAAAGGGACTCGAGAACGGTATAAGTGACGCCACCCTAATTCGAACTTGAGCTGTCGTATGTGGTAATAAGCATTGTGTATAAGTTTCAATACATTTGGTTGAGGCAAAGTTAGAGAATGGAAACCAATATCAGGACGTACGTACAGACAAGGATAACACTTAATGCCCCCTCCGGTGACGGCGGGGGCATAAAAAATAATATCTACCTATTTTTTTTTTTATAACCCTGGTCAAAATCCCCTTTCTTCTTTCTACCTATATGTTACAACATATAAATCTAAATTATGAATAATGCAATATGATTTCTCAGATGAGTTAATTTTTCATTTATCAGTTGATTAATACCAACCTTGTTAATAAATCCATAGTGAACTAGTTCTTGTGCAAGGATTTCTGCATTGTCATCTTTGGAAAAATCAGCTGTTAACTGTCTATTCATTTTATCATCCATTTTTAACTGGAGTGTTATGTGGTATTTAGAGGAATCATCTTTCCTGACATTACATGAGGAAGATGTCACCAAACGATTTTCTACATCTAAGGAATTCTGATCTTCTGACTTTTGTGGATTGTCCACCTCAGGAGTCACAGGGCGTGTTTTAGTTGGTGGATCTTGCATAGTAAATGCTGTCAAGGGATAAATTCCATTTCTTTATGAAAAATAAAAGAAGATTTGCTTTTAATAACAGTCATCAAATGCTCATAACAATTTATGAATCCAAATGCTGATTATTCAATTTTTTTTTACAAATTTAACTGGCCCTATGGCACTAAAGGTAATTCAAATAAACTGTTGACTGTCGGCATAAAATTAAAAAAAAGACAATCTGATGAACAGCCACCTGATTTATTAATTCAGTCACTGGACCATTATCTAGTAGGCAGGGCTCGAAAATAATCGTCAAACTGATATGTACTGATAGTAATGCAACTTTATACAAAATATCATTGATCTATCACAAGTAGTTCTTATCAAACTGACTTAACATGCTTAAGCAGAAAACTTCACATTGAAAATTGCTAATTTATTCAGTCACTGGAGCATGACCTTGGGGGCAGGGCCTCAAAATAGTCGTCAAACTGATATGAACTAATAGTAATGCAACTTAATATACAAAATATTATTGATCTATCACAAGTATTTCCTATCAAACTAACTTGAGCAGAAAACTTAACATTGAAAATTGCTAATTAATTCAAAGTTACTGGACCATGTCCTAGGGAGCATGGCCTCAAAATAGTCATCAAACTGATATGAACTAATAGTAATGCAACTTCATACAAAATATCATTGATCTATCACAAGTAGATCCTATCAAACTAACTTAGCAGAAAACTTAACATTGAAAATTGCTAATTAATTCAAAGTCACTGGACCATGCATGACCTAGGGGGCAGGGCCTCGTAATAATTGTCAAACTGATATGAACTGATAGTAATGCAACTTTATATTAAATATCAATGATCTTTCACAAGTAGTTCCTATCAAACTAACTTAAGCAGAAAACTTAACAATTGTTGACAGCGTTGCTGGAAAAGCAATCCCTATGTCTCACTTAATACTGTCCAATTTCCCATCATCAAATCTTTTTTTTTCTTTCTTTGTTATCAATTGATGTGTTTATAGATATCTAAAGAATTTCACAAATATCACTGCATTCATGCATTACATTCACATACTAAAACACCATTTCTATTTCTACAATATATTGTTCGCTAATATCTAATTTCCAATTTGACCTTAGTTGTTGTAACCATATTTTTAAAATTATAACATGGCATTATTAACAGCAATATCATCAACTGAATTAATGTAACAGAAAACATGCACTGAATTCAAAATAACTCACCTTACATCTTCCAAAAACTTTTCTAATTCTAAATTTGGCACTTGTGATCGTCTACAATAGAAATTATTCTTGAACAGAAGTTCTGACATTTCTAACAGCTAAAATTTTGTTATCAATGAAACAAAATTACTGTGCAATTTGAAAATGAGAAAATGGGAAAATCTCAATCATTTGACAACAGTAATAAAACGCTTCACGAAGGTAGCCTGATAAGACCGCAGAGGTAGAACCCTGAACAGTTGGGGCAAGTTTGGACACAATATTCAAGCTTGATACTGTCTGAATTTGGATTGAGATCAAATTTTTGTCAGAATATAGGTTTATGACACAAAATAAATGTGGCCAAAGATCTTAAAAAATTTGAAATGGGACATTTAATTTACCTAGTATGGTCTGATATCCAAAATCTAACAACATGGTCAGATTCAGCATATAAAAAAAACACTAAAAATTTAATTTTAGTTGAAATCAAACAAAGTTTTTAATTTTGGACCCTTCAAACCTTAATATGGACTAACTTGAAAACAGGGCCCAAAATAAAAAATCTAAATGCACAATAAGATTCAGCATATCATAGAGCCGCAATATTTCAGTTTTTGGTGAAATCAAACAAAGTTTAATTTTGGACCCTTTGGACCTCAATGTAGACCAATTTAAAAATGGGGCCCAATATCCATAATAGTAATGCAAGATTAGAACCCCCAAAAATTAAAGACTTTAAATTAATCCCATTGAAATTGGTTAAAAGATTTGTATTTATTTTCAATTGAAGATTTCTTGCTATTGCGCAATACTGTGCTACTGCGCAATACTGTGCTGTTGCACACTACTACTTAGTTAATCTGTTATATATAATAATTTACACACCCTGTTTGGTGTGTATCTCCTGCCATATCAGTATTTGTTGCTTTTATATATAAATCAGAAATAATCAATGTTAAAATGGAAAATTTTTGGGGAAAAATACCCAAAAAATTATGAAAAAAAAAAATCCCCCCATAAAATTTGCCCCCTCCCCACCAAATTTTTTTTTTTTTTCAAATTTTGAAAAATCTTGAAGGAAAAAGTATGACCCCCCTCACCCAAAAAAAAGGGAAAAAAATCCTCCCCCCAAAAAAAATTGATTCAAAAATTTTGAAGAAAAAAATATGAACCTCCAAAAAAAAATTTGAAAAAAAAATCCCCCCTACAAACTTTTTGCCCCTAATTCCTAAACTGTTGGTACCATAACCCCCAAAATCAATCCCAACCTTCCATTTGTGGTATTGAACCTTCTGGTAAAGTTTCATAGAGATCCATTCACTTAAACTGAAGTTATTGTCCGGAAACCAAATGTGTCTTCGGACAACGGAGACGACAACATGATAGCATTATACGAACGCAAATTTTTTGCGGTCGTATAAAAAGTGGAGGAAAATGTTCAACCACAAAGTTGTCAAGAATTTACAACCAATAAAAAAATCTGAAAATTACAAGTTTTCGCTATTGTACTTTAAGGCTTCATACATAAGAAAAAGGGACATTTTTACTTCCCCAAAGTCTTCATTTATTTTGAAATTAATCCCTTCAGGTTAACATTCTGATGACAATGACATATCAGCATACTATTTAGCTCATTTGCAGGGGCTCGAGAAACAACCATCAGATTTATTGTCTTTATGCATTTAACATGAACAAAAATCTTAAAACATCGGATGCTTATAAGGTACAAAACCCCTAATTCAGGAACAGTTGGTCAGTATGATGCTTCTACATACACAATTTTGACAATCTAAGTGCTACAGTACAAAAGTTTTGCATTCAACAAAATCGGACAATGTTTTAATATCATAGGGGCCAAAGGTAAAAGTCAAGGTCAGAGTGACCTGACTTTAATATATCACACATCACCATCCCATAATGCAAATGCATACTAAGTTTGGATAACCTAAGATTTACAGTACAAAAGCAGTCTGCACCAAAATCTTTTCCGACTTCTAGTCCAAACAACAATATTCCAATATTTTTCTTATGTTGCTGAACAAAGTTTTGCAAAAACTTACTAGTCCAAATAAATTAAACTAGTCAAGGGAATCGGACTAGCGGCTAATGGTGCAGACTGCAAAAGTAACGAGTCAATCACAAACGAGACCAGGTTTACTATTATAGGGGTCAGTCAGAGTGACCTGACTTTGGTATATGAAACCATGAAACCATGATGCAACTGCATTTCAAATTTGGTTAAAGTAAGTTTTACAGTACAAAAGTTATGAGCAAGACATGATTTGGACAAGGTTTTAATATCATAGGGGTCATAGTCAAGGTCTGAGTTACTTGACTTTGGTATATGAACTCAAATTACTATAAAATAAAAAAGGATAACAGTAAATTTGGGATTTACAAATTTTAGTTTTGTTCAACCAATACACAAATTGGTTCAAAGGTAAATAATAATGTCAATACTAAATAAATGGAGAATGTGTCCATGGGACACAGATGATGCCTCTGCTTGCATATACTGTTATAAAGGGACATAGCTCAAGAACGGTAAAAATGACGTCACCCAAATTCTAACTTGATCTGTTTTTGTGGTAATTAGCATTGTGTATAAGTTTTCTTAACATTTGGTTGAGACAAACTAAAGTTAGAGAACAGAAAACAATTTCGTGACATTACACAGTCTTCATGATAAACTTTTAAATCTACAGGCCCAGACCTCAGTTTTTCGAAAATTTTAGTTAGATTTTGTTGGCCTGTAGAGATGATTTTTACAGACCCGAAAGCAATTTTACAAGCCTGGGCTGGTGGGCCTGTGGCTCAACGTGAAGACTAGTCGTACAGGGGAAACACTTAAAGGAGACGTGACACGATTTTAAAATTATTTTTTTTTTTTTTATTAAATTGATAAATATTAGTCTTAAAACATATTGTGTACAATTTTGCTAGTCAAAACCTGATCAATCGGCATTTTTTAGGTCAAAGAATCCAGCGCTTGTCATAATGAATCATTTTTAATTAGATAACGATCACGTGATCGTGCTTATGTCAGTGGTTACAAGCTGGGAAAATGTCTTACTGTGGTAACAATCCGATCGGTATTGTCTGAAAAATCGTCGTTGTTGGACTTTTCGCATGAAGAATTAATATCCTTTTCTTGGTTATTTTTCACACACAATGGCTCAAATTGATGAGGTCAATTGTCTTTGTAGTTTGTCAGTAATCGGGAAAAGTGCTTTCAATACCGTCCATAGTGTATCGACTTCGTCATATAGGTTTGTCTGATGAATAAATTTAATAAACCGCTTTCCTCATTTTTTATTTATTCAAATAAAACTACTTTTAATCATGATTCAAAATATAAATTCTATTATTGATGATCAAATTGTTCTTTTTTCTCTCTGTTACGGTAATGTTATAATTATGTGTGCGCCCGAAGCAGAAAGAAAAGAAAAAAAAAGATAGTAAAAGTAAAAGAGTATTATGCGTTCGCAAATGGTACGTTTTTTGTTTTGTTTTTTTGTTTTGTTTTGGTTACGGTGAGACTTTTAATAGGTATAAACTATCACCAAAAGTTATGCATATATTTTTTTTGGTTGGAAACCATACATCACGCCAAGGATTTGTATAGTGACAAATCCTTTATCACACTTTTTCTGCATTAGGATATTCAATTAACAATTTTATTACTTTCCCCCTTTTTATGTAAACAATTCAATTCAATATTTTATTTACGTCTCACCTTATGTATAAAATTAAACAATACAAAACGTTTATTGGAGGCTGTTGTATTAGTAATTAAATTTTGACACCTATAGCATACTTGACCAGGTGAAAGGTAAGAAGGCACCTGTAGTGTGATTTAGTCACGTGTTATGTTATTTACCTTGAACTACTGTAGTCTTATGTTGAAATAATTAATATAGTTATATTACACTTCTAAAGTATGCAATTCCATCCAAACCCTTATAAATCTAACTTCAAATTTAAGGAATTACACAAAGTAAATTCAAGTTCACACATTTCCACCCCTCTCTTCCAAATATCATTTAGCAATCAGTTTGTTTATTGCTACCAGCAAAATGCTTGAGTCCAGGAAAATATTCACAACTTAATATTTCTTCAAAAAGGGGTCATTTGAATATATGTTAAATTTTCAATCGTACTGAGCATGAAAATGTTTACATGTTACATACTTCAGTCTTCGAATACATGAATTATGTATTATTTGTATTTGGCTTTGATCTAGCTTACATTATTTGTGCGTTATCTCTATTGTTTTTACGTTAGTGGTTTCTGTACTTCGTACCGATCTTTTGAGTTAGACTGGTTTTTATAGTTCTTATGTACTGCTGTAAGACCGCTATCACACGTTTGGAGGTAGGCGCTCACAAACATATATCCCCCACGACACATTGTGAATGTGCCTGTCTCAAATCAGGAGCATGTATATCAGTGGTTCATGTCTGTCAAATTTTTTCTGCGGAAATTATTTTGTTATAAATAAGTTAGTTTTATCCCTAAAATTGTTTCACATTTTCATGTTGAGAACTTTTATAGCCGAATATACGGTATGAAGTTATAGACTTGCAAGCATACAGGAATATTACTTTTCCATCTCAAGAAGTCAATTAAAAAAATGCATCTGTTATAAACCTTTTTATATCTGCATATTCTTAAAAGCAATAAAAATAAGATCTATATACAGGTTGTCTATAATTAGTTATCAACGCTGGTTAGGGTATTTAATTGGTGGTGCATAGGGTATTGTATGGTCGTATTACATGCAGGTATTCATTAAACATCAGGTAGTTGTACCTGTATTTTCTGTAACAATAATACATTCCAATCTCACCTGTGCCCTCGGCAAAACCAACATCCAGGATGTACACAAAGAGCTTATGAAGTAATATTGCGTAATAACTATATCTAACCAAGTGGCGTGACACCTGAAGCTTGCAACTTCAAACGAGACCTGAAATTGCGAAACTCAATCACCTGTACCGTTCACCTGTGACCTATGATGAACTCATGGAATGGCACCCGAGACCCCAACTCTGGATTCCTTATGAAAGTGGGCGGAAAGAAGTGTAGTTTGGGCTTGTTAAAAAGTCCTATCTTTACACCTTCTAAGTCCGCGTGTCATTCGAAAAACAGAAAATATCATGTCAATATTCTTTTTAATTATATTGTTGAATCCATCGGCATCACGCATACTCATTTTTTTATCACTGTCATGCGTTTTGTTGGATAATAATCCAAACTAAATTTGTGCTGTACCCATATGTTAATATGAATAAAAGGAACCACTGACGTAGTAGCCTTGTTCTGAGTGACTTCCGGGATGGAAATATGCATATTTGACAGGTCGATAAATCGTTGCATTAAAATCTCATTAAAATACATATTTTAACAAATATTTGACACTTATATTGCTATCGATGTATTTTTGGGGAAAGTTAAGTATAAATAAACATTTTTAAACACAAATTGAAAATCGTGTCATGTCTCCTTTAATGCCCCCTCCACTACGACAGGGGCATAAAAACAGTGATCAAAATTTATTAAATTATGGTTTGTGATTTCTGTCATTTTCAACATTTCTACACATCGCTTCAAGACTTACTTCCATTGCACTGGTTCTTTACATTTGATTTCAGCAAATACAGTATTGGGATTTATCCTTTTAATAAATGCTTCATCTGTTAAATTTTCAGGAAGAATTGCTGAAATAAATTGAATATGCATGAGTAAACTATCTTATTTTATAAAATGTCATAATAATGTAATAGTTCTACCGTATGATAAAAGAGCAAAACATTCGTAAAGTCTAACAGTTATTAGATAAAAATACATAATCTTGTAACTAATCAGCATTCCAAAACTCAGTAAAGCCACATTTTAATACAGGTATGTACAGAGTTCTATTTTAATTACTGTACTACACTGCTACATATATTGGTTATTCACAATTACCCCCAAACTCAATTCCAGCTTTCCCTTTGTGATATGGAACCTTGTAGTACAATTTCATAAAGATCCATACACTTACACACAAGTTATTGTCCTGAAACTAGAAAAATGCTTGTTTTTTGCCCCTTTTTGGCCCCTAATTCCTAAAATTTGGAGGCAATTACCTCCAAAATCAATTCCAGCATTCCCATTGTGATATGGAACCTTGTGATACAATGTCAGAGAGATCCATAGACTTACACACAATTTATTGTCCTGAAACTAGAAAATTGCTTGTTTTTTGCCCCTTTTTGGCCCCTAATTCCTACAATTTGGAGGCAATTACCCCCAAAATCAATCCCAGCATTCCCTTTGTGATATGGAACCTTATGGTAAAATTTCATTGAGATCCATTCACTTAAACTAAAGTTAGAGTGCGAAAACTAATGTGTCTTCGGACGACGACGACGTCGACGTCATACCAATATACGACCACAAAAATTTTTTTGCGGTCGTATAAAAAGGTCTGGTTAACCGGTTAGCATTTTTGGTATTCGATATTCGGTCCTTCCAACGGTTTACCGTTAACAACACTAGTAGATACCTTTTGTTTGTACTGATGAACGACTTTAATATAAAGTGAAAAGTATGCACATATTGATTTATTGAAACTTGTGCAAATAGCCTGAAACAATGTATTCACCACAAAAATCTGTCCATTTATACAAATCAAGCTTTGAACAAACAAGTCTTAAGGTTTTAAATGTGAACAATGCATGAATGAATATGGCTACTTTTTGGCTTGTTATCTGTAGAAAGAAAAGTTACCCTCTTTACCTTACAAAGTGACACCATTGTGTATGCTCTATCAGTTATTTTAATTCAGACAAAGGTGGAAGCAATGCTGGTAAATATACAAATGAAGAGTAAATAAATGTTTATTGACAGACTGTTAAAGAGAACCAAGAATTATAAGTTCATTTGAGTATTCTGAGGATTACACTAATAATTGCCCATTTATAAACTTACAAAGACTTTTGACAAATGTGTGAGCAGCAAGAAGCTTCAAAGAATGTACTTCAAACAATATGGCATGGAATAACAGTTCCCTAGCATTTGGTCTCTCAGCTGGATCTTTTATAATACACTGAGATATAAAATCCTAAAAAATGCAAATATATAAATATTATGTCATGTATATAAAGAATAGCTGATTTCTATATGTAAACATTGTAAAATATATGCTGTGAGTCAGGTTAAGTAGATTTTTGGAAAATAGCAGAAGCAAAAGGTTATAATATTCTGTATCTATATACAAAAACTTAAAACTTTATAATCAATTAATCATTATGGTTTTAAGCAATTTTCTCTTTTTAAAACTGTTTCTTCCATTGAAAAAAAAAGGGAACAAATCTTTGAAACAATTTTATGTATACAAATTATTTCTTTAGATGAGGATTAACCACTAAATCATCATCATATGTATTTATCAACAAAGTAACGATTAATTGTTTTGATGATATTTCATTTTTCAAAAGACAATAGCTATTATTGTTTTGTATTATCCATTGACTGATCGATTGTTGTTTGCTAAAGGTTCATTTCAACTTACTCTCTGTACTGGATTTTCTAAAGATTCTAAAGTTCTTTTTATGTTTTCTTCTGTAACATGAACACTGGATTCACCACCATTTCCTTGAAAACCAAGAGCTGCAATCTGTAAACAATCATGAATGGCAACAATTAAATATACAACTCCTCCATACCCACAAAATGTATTGATTTTAGACAACTTCATGGTAAACTACCTTAAACCAAATTGAATTGTTTTACATTTGTCATTTCAGGGCATTTTATAGCTGACTATGCGGTATGGGCTTTGCTCATTGTTAAAGCTTGTACGGTGACCTATAGTTGTTAATTTCTGTGTCATTTGGTCTTTTGTGGAGAGTTGTCTCATTGGCAATACTACCACATCTTCTTTTTATACCTTAAACCAAAACTTTTACTCAATCAGTGTACAGAAGAATCCCTGTCTGAACACTTACTTGACATAACCATGTATTTCATAAAGTTCACATCAATTATTTGAATCTGGAATAATTATGAATTCTGGAAAATTGATAAGAAATGTATGATGCAAACAAACCCAATTTAAGAGGGTAAGCCATGTATGCTGTACGGTGACCTATAGTTGTTAATTTCTGTGTCATTTGGTCTCTTGTGAAGAGTTGTCTCATTGGCAATCGTACCACATCTTCTTATTTTTATAGGGCTAAGGGGGTTAGTTAGTTCATACTGAAATATCAGTGAAAGTAATGTTAACCTTAGCCATGCATGCTCTTTAGTTTGGTTAGTTTTCCATCATATATTTCTTATCAATTTTCCAAATTTCCAAATTATTCCATATTCAAATAATTCCTTGTTTAATGACACACATTAACCGAACACAGATGTACACATGTACTGGTATCCTTGGCTTTTAAATATTTGGCTTTAAGCATTCCTGATGAAGGCAAATCCAGAAAAGCACTTTGGATGCAAAAAATCTATAATGTGTTCTTTTCATTTTTTTATACTGTGAACATTCCTAGTGTAGTAGTGAAATATTTCTTGTCGAGAACAATTCTCTTGACATAATTCTTAATTGTTACACTCACCTCTAATGCACAAATTCCAAAAGAATATATATCAATAGGAGGTCCAAAGGCACCTGGATCTGAAAAAGGAAAACAGCAATAACCTCAGTTTAAAGATTTTGGCTTTACTTTTGGAGATTAGATATGATGCAATTACTGCAAAGCATGTTTATTGATAAATGTTTTTGTTGGAACTAAAAGCATTGATATGTTCTTACAATCACCAATCCATAAACAAATTCTGGTTTGAGATGAAACTTTGTATTAAACTCTCATTTCTTATCGAACTTATATAACACAATGAATTTAAATGAAAATTGTGTTTTCTGCTACTAAGACGTTCTTTACTGGTACCTTAATCTGTTAGTTATTTACTATCCTACAGGGCCATTATGATATTGCAATAGATATATAGATATATGATATATCCAAATGCATATTGATAGAAAGCAGAAAGTACTACTCTACAGTCTATCATAGGTGGTTCCAACTCTAAAACTTCAAGAAGAAGAATTAATTTTATATGTGCACAGTGCATTTATATCCATCTCCATGATATAAAGGTGACTACTAATATTTTTTTTAAATGAGAACCCAAATATATAAAGTATTGGCAAACAGGCTGTACAAAATAAAACCTCTTAAACATGAACAATAAAAAATGGAATTAAAAACTCAAATGGCCGGGTTGCACAGAATGTTTCTTAAACAATGGTCAAACGATTTGACTATATATATGTAAAAATTAAAAAAAAATTGCAAACAAATATTTAAACAATTCCAAAATGGTAGCTGCACATCTTTAATAGGTTTTCAAAATTTCTGTGAAGTTCAAGGAACTGGGTTGAGAACTGTAGGAGGAATTGAATACATAAAACAGGTACCATCTTTTGAAAATTCTGCAGAAAAAATGTTAACTTGACAAGTCTGGGAGAATGAAAACAAAATTCTTCAAACAATTTTTGTTACAGCAGGTTCACAACTTCAGTACATGTAAAATTTCATGGATCTTGATTGAAAACTGTAGGAAGAATTGATTACAAAAAATTTACCAAGTCCCAAGTCTGACAAAATGGAAAAAAAATCCTGAAACAATTCTATTATACCAGATGCACAACTTTAATATGTTTGCAGTTTTAGGGACCTGGTTGGAAAACTTTAGATGATAACACAAAATAGGTAACCACTTTTCCATGCCCAAAATCACATACTATAAGCCAGTTTTGCACTTCATGCAACCTGGCCAAAAAAGCAAAAGTAATAAAAAATAACAAAGCTTCATTCCAAAAATTGTCTTTTAAACTATTAACAAGAGGCTGTCAATATGACAGCAAACCAGGTTTTACTTACATGTATTGAAAAAGCAATCAAGGGCTAAAACTCCTGGACAGCATAAGTGGTATTTGTAAAAATCAACCTTCACCTCCATTTTGTCTTCAGAAACAACATATTAAAATTTCAAAAGGATCGGTTTAACCTTTCTCAAGTAAATGTACAGAAACAACATAAAGTGTCATTTTTCAATTAATTAAGGACCATTAATCCTGAACAGCAAAAGTGAAATAGTAAATTTAAAATTTAACCTTCATTTTGCTATCCAACACAACAAAATAAAATCTGAAAAGGATTGGATATCATTTTCAAGTTATTACACATAAAAAACATAAAGAACCATTTTTCATTTAGTAAAGGAGCATAACCCCTGAATGGCAAAAGTAAAAACTCCTCGATATTTAAGTTGACCTCCATTTTGTCTAGTAAATAAATCAATCAAATAAAAAATCACACGGATGCCAATCATTGCTATTTAAGGCCAGGTTAACCAGTATTAACACTAACATTTCCTTCGTATATGCTGTTCAATGTTAATCAGAAGGCTAAATTGATGTTTATTCCAAGTTTCAACACAATTTTATGTTTTAAATAATATTTCTTATCATTTGCAATATCAAATGTACAACATAAAATGGTGAGTTTTGGACTGCAGATACAGGACAACTATAGGAACATCACTTGACACCCTGGATGCTTTACTTGACTATTTAATTTACCTGACTGGTCAGCTGACGTTATATCTAAAATCAAAAATAAAGCCTCAACTTTAAATACTTAATATAATATAGGTCTTGTTCAATGCTATTACAGTAAGGTCCAGGATACATATCTTTCAAAACATGATGTACTCCACCTACTGAAAAGTTAAACATTTAAAAAAGAGGTTACTTTCTTCTTATTTCCTGATTAACATAAAATTGCTTAAATATTTCCCTCTCATAAATTTGATCTTTCACAGAAAAAAAAGAAAAAAAAACCACACAAAAATAAAAATCTTATCTGGCCCATAAATTTGAGAAATAAATATAAAACTACTTTATTCACCATTAAATTTGAGAAATTTAAACTCAACAAATGTTTAAACCACTTTGCTTATCCAGCATATTTATCAGTAAACAGCAGTTCATGTCATCTTATAATACTTTAAAACAACTTAAAATCAAGCATACAAAGCAATAGTTATATATGCACCAGATAAAGTTGGACAAATATGAATGATTTAAAAGAATGATAATATTACTAACCTGCATATTCAGGTGCAATGCAATGCATGTTCTTTATATCTTTTCTGTATGTCTTTACATGATGCATAGCATCTGGAGCAACTGTTGAACACATATAAGAATATTAAATTAAAATATACCTTTACACACTAAATCTAATTTACATTTCAAAACTGTATTTTGACAGTATGTCGATTACACATCCTTTTTTATACATCATGATATAAAAGCAAGACTGTAATTTCTTTAAAAACCCAATTACTATCAGTAAATGTTCCACACTATGGTTAATTGTTCAAATATAAGTATATGTTTCATTGCAAAGCCCCTAGTCCTTTGACAGCATCTAGATGTTTTTTTTCTGGGTTTTTAAGTTGATGGGTTACTATCTCACTCTCATTAACATATATATCAAATATCTCCTTTCACTCAAATCTGAAAATAAGACACAAAAAAAAAAACAACAACAATATGATATTTACCAATAGACCCATTAATTTTATACCCCTGTCTCAATTTTTTATTTTTTTTATTATTGTAGATGGAAAATTATCATAGCATCAAGTGAACAAATAAATTGTGAACTTTTTTAAGCAGTTATCAGTGTTATTTGATTTTAACGTAGCCTGTACCCTTTAAAGGCATCAATTTTCTAATGCACCTCTTATTCATCCCAAAACCCCAGGAGATCTTAAAGTTTGGGAGCTGAAAGTTGTTTCCTACATTTGCACAGGGATGTCAAAGTTGAACTATGTATTTAACCATGACTTACAATTTTACTGTTTTTTCTCCATGTGCATGGGTCACCTTTTAGCAGTGGTGATTAGTCATGCCAAGTATCATAACCCAACACCTAGGGGTTTGGAAGTTAAAGAGTGGAAATGATTTTAAAAGTACATATGCACAGGAGTGAATAAGATGAAGTAATTTTTTTGACCATGACTTTCAATGTAGACTTTAATTCCATGTACATGGCACACCTTCTAGTATTGTTGCATAATTACTATAATAGGCCTTCTGACGAGGCAGGGCCCTTATAACCAAAACACATCTGCAGGGCAACATAGTTTTAACAAAAGACAGGTGTCTATACAATAGGTCAAGCTCTAAATTGTCCAGAGGTAAGAAAAGTTGTCCAGAGTATAGGTGAATATAAACATAAGCATTCAAAATTTCCAAGATGGTAGCAATATAAAATTTACATTGCTCCATAGGATTCAGCTGTCATATCCAAAGTATACTTTTGTAATCAGCTACCAGTTCATATTACAAAAAATAAATTGGTAAGTCATTGTGTGCACATGTGTAACCATTCCCAAACAATTATACTGCTTTGAGATAGAGTTAGATAGCTCATTCAATAGAATCCGAACTGTTTTTTTGTACAAGTCAATTTTATAAACCATCTCTATTTGAGAAACAACTTAGTCATACACCTGGCTAGCATATACATGTATCTGTGTTTATATCTGCAAAAACTTGTTAACTTTCATAGTATATACATGTGTCTTTTTATCTATAATGTGTCCTAATTATCTTTTTTAAAGTCTAACCCCTAACATTTAAAACTGTAATTGTGTACCTTAGTTTGTTCAGGTTATTATGTATTTGTTTTCTGCTACAAATATCAATTGATTCTTAAAAAAAAAGATTTATAGTATATACCAAAAGACCATGTTACAGTCTGACTCTTAGGTCAAGTATTGTAGCCTTTAATTTCATGCAACTGTTAAATTTGAATACATGCAGTATATTTTCCTGACATTCCTTGTTAAATCCAGTATATTAGTTTTAGCAGTATAAAGTTGTAGAAATTGAAAGAACTAAAGCTATACAATAATATACATGCCACAGTAAACATAAACTAATTCATGGAAATTGTTATGAGCAAGTTCTAATATAAACCAATCATATGTAGTGTTGGGTAATTATGACAAAATCCTGTATTCCAATTTTACAAATAACCAGAAGTGTATAATCAATTGTTATCCATTTCATTTTAAAAAAAAATTATGCTGGTTAATAACATTTAATACAACTATAAATATAAGTTGAGGTAAGTATTATTTCTCATTAATTTTGGTATTATCCACATGAGATTATTCTTTAAAGATGAAAACAAAAGAAACAGGACAAAAAATAAAATAAATATATATATTTTCAAATAAATTAAGTTTGACTCAATACATCAATATTTCAATGATAGATAATTGATCATTTGAGATAATTATTACAACAGTAAAATATGAGAAAACAATATCAGGATCAAACAGAACAACCAACATAGTGAGATGATCTAAATGAACAAACCAACAGAGTATGAGGTGAAAAAAAAAACTACCAACATAGTCTGAGAAGCAAACAGAACAACCAAAAGTCTGAGGAACAAACAAAACTACCAACATAGTCCCAGGAACAAACAGAACTACCAACATACTCCCAGGAACAAACAGAATTACCAACCAAGTCCCAGGAGCAAACAGAACAACCAACATACTCCCAGGAACAAACAGAACAACCAACATACTCCCAGGAACAAACAGAATTACAAACAAAGTCTGAGGAGCAAACAGAACAACCAACATAGTCTGAGGAGCAAACAGAACAACCAACATAGTCTGAGGGTCAAACAGAACAACCAACATAGTCTGAGGGTCAAACAGAACAACCAACATAGTCTGAGGGTCAAACAGAACTACCAACATAGTCTGAGGAGCAAACAGAACTACCAACATAGTCTGAGGACCAAACAGAACAACCAACATAGTCTGAGGGTCAAACAGAACTACCAACATAGTCTGAGGAGCAAACAGAACTACCAACATAGTCTGAAGAGCAAACAGAACTACCAACATAGTACCAGGAACAAACAGAACAACCAACATAGTCTGAGGAGCAAACAGAACAACCAACATAGTCTTATGACCAAACAGAACAACCAACATAGTCTGAGGAGCAAAATGAACAACCAACATAGTCTGAGGAGCAAACAGAACAACCAACATAGTCTGAGGAGCAAACAGAACAACCAACATAGTCTGAAGAGCAAACAGAACTACCAACATAGTCTGAGGACCAAACAGAACAACCAACATAGTCTGAGGAGCAAACAGAACAACCAACATAGTCTGAGAAGCAAACAGAACTACCAACATAGTCTGAGGAGCACACAGAACATCCAACACAGTCTGAAGAGCAAACAGAACAACCAACATAGTCTGAGTAGCAAACAGAACTACCAACATAGTCTGAGAAGCAAACAGAACAATCAACATAGTCTGAGGAGCATCAGAACAACCAACAGGGTATGAGGAGCAAACAGAACAACCAACATAGTCTGAGGAGCAAACAGAACAACCAACATAGTCTGAGGGTCAAACAGAACTACCAACATAGTCTGAGGACCAAACAGAACAACCAACATAGTACCAGGAACAAACAGAACAACCAACATAGTCTGAGGAGCAAACAGAACAACCAACATAGTCTGAGGAGCAAACAGAACAAACAACATAGTACCAGGAGCAAACAGAACTACCAACATAGTACCAGGAGCAAACAGAACTACCAACATAGTCTGTGGAGCAAACAGAACAACCAACATAGTCTGAGGAGCAAACAGAACAACCAACATAGTCTGAGGAGCAAATAGAACAACCAACATAGTCTGAGGAGCAAACAGAACAACTAACATAGTACCAGGAGCAAACAGAACAACCAATATAGTCTGAGGAGCAAACAGAACAACCAACATAGTACCAGGAGCAAACAGAACTACCAACATAGTCTGAGGAGCAAACAGAACAACCAACATAGTCTGAGGAGCAAACAGAACAACCAACATAGTCTGAGGAGCAAACAGAATAACCAACATAGTCTGAGGAGCAAACAGAACAACCAACATAGTCTGAGGAGCAAACAGAACAACCAACATAGTACCAGGAGCAAACAGAACAACCAACATAGTCTGAGGAACAAACAAAACAACCAACATAGTCTGAGGAACAAACAGAACCACCAACATAGTCTGAGGAGCAAACAGAACTACCAACATAGTCTGAGGAGCAAACAGAACAACCAACATAGTCTGAGAAGCAAACAGAGCTACCAACATAGTCTGATAATCAACCAACATAATATAAGGTCAAACAGAACAAACAACATACTTATTCAGAACAAGAACATTATGCTGCCATATGAATCTAAACCCTGATTTGTACTAGATATTTATCGTTAGTTCATAAGGTAACAAACATCAGAAAGACATGTCATCCTAACAACACACATTATTTTTACTCTGACCAGACCAGTCTTTCCTATTACTCCTAAATACCAATTGCCTAGAGAAGAAGGGGCAATACCAATTTTCTTCAAGTCTTTGTTTTGACTCGACCAGGGTTTGAACTCACAACCTCCTGCATTCGAGGCAAGCATGGTACCATGAAACCACTGAGGTAGTCAGAATCATATGAGGAATAGTTTATAACTAGCTATGCTATCCTCATTAAGTAAAGATTATTAATTAGTAAACCAGTAATATATAATTACCACTGTAATTTCAAAAGTAAAAAAAAATTGACAGATGATTAATGAGAAAACAACAGCCAATGACATTTGATCATACTGGCCATTGAGGCTAGGAGAGCTAAAGTTTAACTTAATTTCAGGAGATACAGAAACCATCTTAAAATAATACATTTTGTTTGAACTCTTAATTAGAACAATTGAATGTTCATGTTTAAACATTACAAAATTTAACTTTTTTCAAAGTATAAGAAACTATTGGCAAGTTTTATTCCTACATACAATTTTTAGCATCTACAGATACAAGTAAAAAATGGTGCAAAAATTGGGAGAACAATACAACAATCAAGATGCATAATAAATTGTAACCTATTCCTAAACTAAAATTAAAGTATTTAAAGAGAAAATGTGCTGACATAAAACATTATGTATTTCCAGTATTAAAAATTGGAGATGGCAAGGGTAAGCACACATAAAAACTAAGAAAACAAGCTTCAAAACTTTTTAGAATACAAACAAAGCAAAGTAAAAGTGGGGTGGATTATATTTCCTTAACCATTTTTTAAAAAGATTTTTAAAAGTGTCAAATTATAAATTTATATAATGATATCATCTTGAAAATCTGATAATATTTTATAAAATTTGTGTTAGAAACATCCTATCTTAAAAAGTGGTGTATTACATTTTTCCAATCTATTAACTAAAAATAACAACAGAGCGAGCAACAAAGATTGTTATCAGCACTGTGTTATGGATAGCTCCACATGATAAGCTATGGTGTATTCCTTAATTTTCAGTTTGGACCAGCTGATAAAACTGTTCTAGTTTATTCTAAAATTAGAAAAAAAAGTAAAATGTAAAATGATATGTATTAAAAAAAGATCTGAATTATTCTGGTTATAATTATCAAACACCAGAACATGCTTTAGTTTTCCACCACACTAATACAGCAGTACAGCAGTATTAACCTTTAGTCTCCCTGATTTCTCCTGTCACATAACATACTGCACCATATTCTACAGGGAAATAAAAGTAAAGCAAAACCAAAATCAATGACACAAATATGTCAAATTATAAAATACAACATCGAAATTTGTCTATAGTTGAGAAATTAAATAGTTTGCAAATAAGAATCCCAAATAAGAAGCAACAAGAGTTTAAATGTGGCAATCTTCCTGTAATAATTTATTTTAACTTTTTAAAACAATTCTCCTTTTTTGTATATCAGGGTTATAATGCATTAGTAATTCGCCATACATTAAATGCTGAAATAGACATCATACGCAGTGTTAAGCATTTTAAATCTTTCCTGTGTATCACTAAGTGTTGGCCTAAATTTGATTGAATAGGAATTACCATTCTCTAGTTGGTCAGAAACTACTTGACAATGACAAGGAAGCTCTCATATGAAGTGTACCTTGAAAAACTCTCACACTTGAACTAAATACACTTCGATAATAAAATCAAAATAAAAATCAAAAATTAAATTAAAAATAATAATGAAAGAAAAATTAAAATTGACTAAAAATTGTAAAGATTATAAATGATAATAATCATAAAAAATTTGTAAATCTAGATTATATAAATGAAAAATTATTCATCTAAAAAAACTTCACAGCGCAATGTACCAGAAAGTCCAAAAGTTGATGGATTTCCATATCAAAAGAAGAACAAAAAGAAAGGAAAGAACATGACCTAAAGTTCTAATATACAGCTACATTTCATAGTTGTATGGTTTTACATTTTTATCATTGTTTTGTTTTGTGTTTTTTTTTTTTAATTCAAAGAACACTGCGTCTAACAAATTAGTTATATATATATAATAGTCATTAGATTTGCACACCAAAACTAATATAAGATGGTAATATACAAAGAAGATGTTATAAAATGCTCCGCTGGGGCGCAGCTTGATACGACCGCAGAGGTCGAACCCTGAACAGTTGGGGCAAGTATGGACACAACATTCAAGCTTGATACAGCTCTGAATTTGGATTGTAATTAAATATTTGACACAGCATAGGTTTCTCACACAGAATGAAAGTGGTCTAAGAACTTAAAAATTTTTAATTTACCTATTCAAACCATATCATTATTATTTGCTTTTATATATAAATCAGAAATAACCAATTTAAAATGGAAAATTTTAAAGAAAAAAAAGGGAAAAAAAAATCCCCCCCCCAATTTTTTGAACCCCCTTATGATTCATCACCCCCAAACTCAATCCCAGCTTTCCCTTTGTGGTATGGTACCTTCCAGTACAATTTCAGAGAGATCCATACTCTGTGACCTATAATGGTTTACTTTTATAAATTTTTACTTGGATGGAGAGTTGTCTCATTGGCACTCATACCACATCTTCTTATATCTACTTGAACACAAGTTATTGTGTTATTGTCTGGAAACTAGAAAAATGCTCGTTTTTTGGCCCCAAATTCCTAAACGTTTAGGGCAATTACCCCCAAACTCAAACCCAGCTTTCCCTTTGTGATATGGAACCTTGCAGTACAATTTCATAAAGATCCATACACTTACACACAAGTTATTGTCCTGAAACTAGAAAAATGCTTGTTTTTTTGCCCTTTTATGGCCCCTAATTACTAAAATTTTGAGGGAATTACCCCCAAAATCAATCCCAGCCTTCCCTTTGTGGTATGGTACCTTGCAGTAAAATTTCAGAGAGATCCATACATTTGAACACAAGTTATTGTCTGGAAACTAGAAAAATGCTTATTTTTGGCCCCTTATTCCTAAACTTTTTGGGCAATTACCCCCAAACTCTATTCCAGCTTTCCCTTTGTGATATGGAACCGTGTAGTACAATTTCATAAAGATCCATACACTTACACACAAGTTATTGTCATGAAACTAGAAAAATGATTATTTGTTGCCCCTTTTTTGCCCCTAATTCCTAAAATTTGGAGGCAATTATCCCCAATATCAATCCCAGCATTCCCTTTGAAATATGGAACCTTGTGATACAATGTCAGAGAGATCCATACACTTACACACATGTAATTGTCATGAAACTACAAAAATGCCTGTTTTTTTGCCCCTAATTCCTTAAATTTGGAGGCAATTACCCCCAAAATCAATCCCAGCATTCCCTTTCTGATATGGAACCTTGTGGTACAATGTCAGAGAGATCCATACACTTACACACAAGTTATGTCTGGAAGTTACAATAAAATGCTTCGCTGGGCGCAGCTTTATACGACCGCAGAGGTCGAACCCTGAACAGTTGGGGCAAGTATGGACACAACATTCAAGCTTGATACAGCTCTGAATTTGGATTGTGATTAAATATTTGACACAGCATAGGTTTCTGACACAGAAAGAATGTGGTCTAAGAACTTCAATTTTTTTAATTTACCTATAATGGTCCAATGTCCAAAATCAAAATACATGGTTAGATTCAGCATATCAAAGAACCCCATATATTCAATTTTTGTTGAAATCAAACAAAGTTTAATTTTGGACCCCAACTTGGACAAACTTGAAAACTGGTCCCATAATCAAAAATTTAAACACGTTTAGATTCAGCATATCAAAGTACCCCAAGAATTCAATTTTTGTTAAAATCAAACTAAGTTTAATTTTGGACCCTTTGGACCTTAATGTAGACCAATTTAAAAAACGGGACCCAAAATTAAAAATCTAAAAACACAGTTAGATTTGGCATATCAAAGAACCCCAATAATTCAATTTTTGATGAAATCAAACAAAGTTTAATTTTGGACCCTTTTGACCTCAATATGAACCAATTTGATAGCGGGCCCACAAATAAAAAATCTAAATACAGGGTAAGATTCAGCATATCAAAGAACCCCATATATTCAATTTTTGTTGAAATCAAACAAAGTTTAATTTTGGACCCCAATTTGGACCAACTTGAAAACTGGGCCAAAAATCTAAAATCTAAATACATGTTTAGATTCAGCATATCAAAGAACCCCATATATTTAATTTTTGTTGAAATCAAACAAAGTTTTATTTTGGACCCCAACTTGGACCAACTTGTAAACTGGGCCCATAATCAAAAATCTAAACACATGTTTAGATTCAGCATATCAAAGAACCCCAAGAATTCATTTTTTGTTAAAATCAAACTAAGTTTAATTTTGGACCCTTTGGACCTTAATGTAGACCAATTTAAAAAACGGGACCCAAAATTAAAAATCTAAAAACACAGTTAGATTTGGCATATCAAAGAACCCCATTAATTCAATTTTTGATGAAATCAAACAAAGTTTAATTTTGGACCCTTTTGACCTCAATATGAACCAATTTGATAGCGGGCCCACAAATAAAAAATCTAAATACATGGTAAGATTCAGCATATCAAAGAACCCCATATATTCAATTTTTGTTGAAATCAAACAAAGTTTAATTTTGGACCCCAATTTGGACCAACTTTAAAACTGGGCCAAAAATCTAAAATCTAAATACATGTTTAGATTCAGAATATCAAAGAACCCCATATATTCAATTTTTGTTGAAATCAAACAAAGTTTAATTTTGGACCCCAACTTGGACCAACTTGAAAACTGAGCCCATAATCAAAAATCTGAACACATGTTTAGATTCAGCATATCAAAGAACCCCAAAAATTCAATTTTTCTTAAATTCAAACTAAGTTTAATTTTGGACCCTTTGGACCTTAATGTAGACCAATTTAAAAAACGGGACCCAAAATTAAAAATCTAAATACACGGTTAGATTTGGCATATCAAAGAACCCCAATAATTCAATTTTTGATGAAATCAAACAAAGTTTAATTTTGGACCCTTTTGACCTCAATATGAACCAATTTGATAGCGGGGCCCACAAATAAAAAATTCTAAATACATGGTTAGATTCAGCATATCAAAGAACCTCATATATTCAATTTTTGTTGAAATCAAACAAATTTTAATTTTGGACCCCAATTTGGACAAACTTGAAAACTGGGCCAAAAATCAAAAATCTAAATACATGTTTAGATTCAGCATATCAAAGAACCCCATATATTCAATTTTTGTTAAAATCAAACAAAGTTTAATTTTGGACCCTTTGGACCTTAATGTAGACCAATTTGAAAACTGGACCCATAATTAAAACTCTAAATACACGGTTAGATTCGGCATAACAAATAAATAAATGTGGTCAAAGATTTTACAAATCTAATGCGCCATACTGTGCAATTAAAGATTACTTCTTGAAATTTTTCAATATTTGAAATTTGAAAAAAAAACAATATTTGAAGAATAATTCTTTTTAATTTCTGAAATCTGAAATGAGAAAAAATTGACCCCCACAATTTCTTTGTACCCCCCCCCCCCCCTTTCCCCCCAAAAATTCTTTCCCTCAAGATATGGTCATAATCTCAATTCAAATTTCCAATGGAATTTGCAGCCATAATTACCCATTTAAATTTACCATAGTGCTAACTTAATCTATTTTATAATAGAATTTAAAATATAGTGTCAAATCTTTCATATGGATTTTTTTGTAAAAAAAAAAGATGCAACATTTGCAGATATTTTTACTGGTCTTCCTTTATAAATATGCATTTCTTTAAACATAATTTAAAAGCAGTGTAAAGGAAGTAACCAAAACGTTGTATTTGGATTACCTCCCTTACACTGTTTTAAATTATCTTAATTGTTCATTAACCATTACTTTATACATAATTTAAAAGCAGTGTAAGGGAGATAATTTCAATGATGTATTTGATTTATCTCCCTTACACTGCTTTAAATTATGTTTTGTACTAAAGTATTTGTCCATTAACCAGGACAACCTTGTTTTTCCCCCTTTTTTGCCCCTAATTCTTAAACGGTTTGAGCCATAACCCCCCAAAGCAAATCCTAACCATCCCTTTGTGGTATGGAAACTTGTAGTATAATTTCAGAGAGATCCATACACTGTTCCACAGTTATTGTCTGGAAACAAAAAAATGCTTATTTTTGGCCCCTTTTTGGCCCCTAATTCCTTAACTGTTGGTACCATAACCCCCAAAATCAATCCCCACCTTCCT